TGGTTTTGATTTGCATTTCTCTGACTGCTAGAGATGGTGAGCATTTTTTCATGTACTTGTTGATTGACTGTATGTCCTCCTCTGAGAAGTGTCTGTTCAGGTCCTTGGCCCATTTGTTGATTGGGTTGTTTGTTCTCTTATTGTCTAATTTTTTGAGTTCTTTGTATACTCTGGATATTAGGGCTCTATCTGAAGTGTGAGGAGTAAAGATTTGTTCCCAGGATGTAGGCTCCCTATTTACCTCTCTTATTGTTTCTTTTGCTGAGAAAACACTTTTTAGTTTGAGTAAGTCCCATTTGTTGATTCTAGTTATTAACTTTTGTGCTATGGGTGTCCTATTGAGGAATTTGGAGCCAACTTTTTCTTCTATCAGTTGCAGAGTCTCTGATTTGATATTAAGCTCCTTGATCCATTTTGAATTAACTTTTGTGCATGGCGAGAGAAAGGGATTCAGTTTCATTTTGTTGCATATGGATTTCCAGTTTTCCCAGCACCATTTGTTTAAGATGCTATCCTTCCTCCATTGCATGCTTTTAGCCCCTTTATCAAATATAAGATAGTTGTAGTTTTGTGGATTGGTTTCTGTGTCCTCTATTCTGTACCATTGGTCCACCCGCCTGTTTTGGTACCAGTACCATGCTGTTTTTGTTACTATTGATTGCTCTGTAGTATAGTTTGAAGTCTGGTATCGCTATACCGCCTGATTCACACTTCCTGCTTAGCATTGTTTTTGCTATTCTGGGTCTTTTATTTTTCCATATGAATTTCATGATTGCTTTCTCTATTTCTACGAGAAATGCCGTTGGGATTTTGATTGGCATTGCATTAAACCTATAGAGTTGCTTAAGAAAGGCAAGACATGGACTTTTTTTAAAATTAATTAATTTATTTTAATTAGGTATATATGACAGCAGAATACACTTTGATTCATTGTACACAATTGCAGCACAACCTTACATTTCTATGGTTGTACATGATAAGACATGGACATTTTTGACAATTAAGAAAGAACACATTCAGATATCTGTTGACTGATGACTGCAAGTGGTATATCCATACAGTGAATATTTGTAGGCCATTAAAAGGAATAAAGTACTGCGACATTATGCAAAGTGGAAGAAGCCAGTCCACAAAACACTATCTATTGTATGATTTCACCAATATGGAGAATGGATAAATCCATAAAGATAGAAAGCAGATCAGTGGTGGGGTATGAGATGGGAGGTGACTTCTGTGGGTATAGGGTTTCTTTTGGTCTTGCAAAAATATTCTTAAGTCAGGTTGTGTTGATGGTTTTACAACTCTGAATACACAGCCCACTGTGTGTTCCTGTGGTTTCTGTACTTATGAATTCAACCAACCTTGGATGGGAAGTATTGAAGAAGGGTAGTTATCTGTACTGAATATGTACAGACGTTTTCCCCCTGGTTTTTATTCCCTAAATAATACAGTATAACAATGATTTATATTTGATTAGGTGATTAATCAAATGATTAATCTAGAGGTGATTTAAAGTATAGGAGGGGAAGTACCAAGGTTGTAAGCAAATGCCGTGCCATTTTATACAAGGGACTTGAGCATCCTCAGATTTTCATATGGGGGTCGGGGGGCAGTTTCCTGGAACCAATCCCTCCTGGAAACCATGGGACAGTGTACCAAAAACCATTTAATTGTACACTTCAAATGGGTGCATTTCTATCGTGTGAATTAACTCTGATGTTTTTAAAAAAATATAATTGTGAATTTATGTGGTTCAGTTAGCAACCATTTTACAGAAAATTAAGAATAGAGACACTAGTATAGACTGAAGACTTGGTGGGTTTTTTTTTTTTTTTTTTTTTTTTTTTGGTACCAGGGATTGAACTCAAGGGCACTCAACCACTGAGCCGCATCCCCAGTCCTATTTTGTATTTTATTTAGAGACAGTTGAGTTGCTTAGCGCCTCACCATTGCTGAGGCTGGCTTTGAACTCTCAATCCTCCTGTCTCAGCCTCCCAAGCTGCTGGGATTATGGGCCTGTGCCTCCGTGCCTGGCATTGGTGGGCTTTTTTGATGGTGGACTTAGAGTAGCCTAGGGCAGGAGGACTCTAGAGAGATGCTGATAGTTGTCAGCAGAACTTAGTTGTATAGAGGGGAGGATGTATTCAGGGCAGAGAACTCCTAGACTTAAAATGGAAGGCTCCTGTTAGGGAGAGAAGGTGGGACAGAACAGGTGGAAGAGATGAGGGGAGACTTAAAGGCCAACAGGGATATGGATACTAGCCTATTCATGGCTGGGATCTGGGTCTGGATGAGGAGAAAGGGGCCAGTCTGAACTGTAACCAGAAAGGCCACATAGGAGGTTATCCCAAGATGGAACCAGGAATGGGAAAGAATGAAACAAATGAGACACATTTGGCAGAGAACCAGGATCCAAAGGGTTGTATCACGAGAAAAGAAAGCTGGTTCTTGAGGTTTTTTCATAAATCGTGTAGGAGAGTTTTGTTTGCACATTCTAGTTGAGACCAAGCCAGAGTGGGTGTAGGCAGGGCCAGGTCCCTTGGCTACTTTCTCTTGGGGACAAGTGTCTGAGTGTTCTCCTTGCTGTGATTTTTGTCTTTGTGAACTACTTTTCATCTCTGGGACCTGTTGAAATAGTCTGTGTGATGCCAGAGTCTAAGAATTTGAGTTCACTGTTGACCAACGGCTGATGCAGATCACGAGCTACAAAATATTTAATCAGTGAGGTCACTTGAGGGAAGTAAGATTTGATCAATAGGAGTGTCTGCTGTTTTCCTTTAAGGATCGAGTCCCAAACTGCTTTTCTTCTGCCTTCATTTGGCAAAACCACAAATCATTAAAAATGGAAAGAATAACTTTTTCTAAGACCCACAAAGCTTATTTTTAATCAACTGTGTGTTCTGCTCACCTTTGTGGTGTTCCCCTTCACCGGATTCACAAAAATAAATGTGTGCTAGGTTAGTAGTTTCCGAGCCCTTTTAAAAAGCACCCTCATTTCTGATGAGCCTAGATTTATGATACAAACCTTGAATTGAAGCAGCCAGGGTACAAGTCCCCTTGGAAGAAAACTGAGCCTCTGGTAGTTTGCAATGTTGACACCCATTGTCTGTCTGTTTGTCTGTCTGTCTCTCTCTCTCTTATTTTCGTATTTAAAGTGAGTCTTGCTGTGTTGCCCAGATTGACCTTGAACTCCTGAGCTAAGCAAGCCACCTGCCCCAGCCTCCTGAGTAGCTGGAATGATAGGAGTGTGTCACCAGGTCTGGCTTTAGACATTCATTTTTTTAAGTGTGTGTGTGTGTGTGTGTGTGTATACACACATACATACACACACATACATGCATACATTTAGTTGTAGATGGACACATTATTATTTTATTTGTTTATCTTTATGTGGTGCCAGGGTTCGAACCCAGTGCCTCACACATGCTAGGCAATTGCTCTACCACTGAGCCATAACCCAGCCCCAGACATACATTTTTACTTCTAAGGATTCTACTGAGAACATGTGGTATACTTCAGAAAAAGACTCATTAAAATGAGGGGTGGGGCAAAGGAAAAAAGGGGATTCAGAGAAGAGAAGAGACATGAAGAGACCCTATCTGTGGCATTTATTCAGCAAGCATTTATTAAACAGCTCTTGGGTGCCAGGCACAAGACAGGTGGGGTGCTAGCTAGAGATCTGAAAGTCAATATGGCATCAGAGTGGGAGGGAGAAGCAGCTTCCAGAAGGAGGTCCCTGCCAGGCCAAGCACTGGAGAGTGTGTGGAGAGAGCCAGGCAAAGACATGGGCCTGCAGGTGATGGGGCAGCAGCAGATTAGAATAGCATGTTGTGTTTCAGGGCCTTGTGGATCTGTGACAAGTTCCTCCTGAGTTTCTTTCGGTGAACAGGTGTGGAGCTGTAGGTCAGGTGGCAGGTGTGAGAGGCACCCAGTGCTTTCTTGTGGTGGAAGCCAGAGGCCAGCAGAATGCATGTACACCCTAAAAGGAAGTGGGAACTTTATTTCTCCCCTCCCCCATTAGTGAAGGGCAGTTGTTCAGTCTGGGATGGTAGGCTCCTAGATTCATTGGGATCACCGGCCTTCTTGCTAGCAAGAGTGAGCAAGTTCTCAGGAGAGGGACGGGTCTTCTTGGTGACATCAGATCTTGTGAGCCATGGACACTCTGGCTAGGTCTAAAGCCGCTGTCCAGAAAAGAGGGGTTGGGTGGGGTGGATGTGTGACAGTGTGTTATAGGGAGGAAGGTGGCACACACATGAGAGGGTGAGTCCGGGCAGTGGGATGAGGAGAAAAAGGGGCTTTGTGTGCAGCAGCTTCTGCTGCCAGAGCAAGTGTGGGTTTTGTGGCAGCTGCAGGCCCCCGTTCCTAATATAGGCAAAAGCTCCAAATCTTCGGGACGACACCTGTTAGCTGGAGGCTCCCCTAAGCTGACCTCTCCTTGGGCTGTCTCTCTCACATTCACATCTGACTCACTGGGGGGCCAGATACCCACCCTCACTGAACCCTGTGAACCCAGGGCCTTCTCCCAAAGTGGGTGTTGTGGGGGCTGCTGGATTTTTGAGGAGCAGCACTTACTCAGCTGTCACTAGGGAAAGGGGTGAGGCTGACCTAGCCAAGAGAAATGGGGTGTTCCTCTTGGGAAGTGGCCATTCCTGATGAAGAGCTGAGGGTGTGGGGAGAGGGCACCCTGGACACGAGTCCTGGTGAAGGCCAACTTTCCCCCTAGGATGGGGGGAATGAAGTGTGATTCGCTTAATGCTGCTGCAGCTGCTTCCTAACTTTGCCTCTTTCTTCCTTTGACTTTTGGAGGAGTGGGGTGGAGAAGAGGACGTTGGGGTCCTAGGTAGCCAGCTGCTTCCAATCCCTGCCTCCCCAGCTATGTGTCTGGGGTGAGTGAGGCCTGGGAGGTCGATGCTCGCTGTGGCTAGCGTAACTCCCTTTGTCTCTCCCCTCCTTCCTCTCCCCTCTTGATTCCTCTTCCTGGCCCCCATGGGTGGCTGCAGCTCAGCCCTGGGGAGCCCCTGTGGAAGTGGAGTCCCTCCTGGTCCACCCTGGTGACCTGCTGCAGCTTCGCTGTCGGCTGCGGGACGATGTGCAGAGCATCAACTGGCTGCGAGACGGGGTACAGCTGGTGGAAAGCAACCGTACCCGCATCACAGGGGAGGAGGTGGAGGTGCGGGATTCCGTGCCCGCTGACTCTGGCCTCTACACCTGTGTGACCAGCAGCCCCTCTGGCAGCGACACCACCTACTTCTCCGTCAATGTCTCAGGTTGGTAGCCAATCCCTATCCTTACCTTCCCCCCTGGACCCACCCCTCTGACTCTCTCTGCTAGTTTCAGGGGGAGGTGAACCTCCTTCCCTGCCATGATCTGCCCCCACTCTGCTTCAGAAACTGCTGCCCACTAACATTGCTCCCTGCCCGCCGCGTGGCTTAGCTCTCAAAGGGGTGACCAGGTAGGGCAGACCACAGGCCAGATATGTGGGGCTTCTAAGACCTACTTCAGAGGAGTGGCTGATGCTCTTGGGATGTTAAGAGCCTACGATGTTCCTACCACAACTTACCCAGATCACCAGGATGCTAAGTGGTTCTTTCTCAGCCAGCTTCCACCCTGCCACTACCTTGCCACTTGGACTTGATACTGAGCTTAGTGACTAGAGCCCCAGAATATGTGGTGAGTCCCTGCTGTGATGGGAAGGACCCATCCAGATGCACTGTGTCCACAGGCTTTACAGAAATACCTGCCAACCAGCTCTTGGAGCTGTGCCAGAGCAGCCAGAGAGCTCTGTGACTTTGGGAATCTACTACTTTTAGATTGTGACTTTCACAAAACTACTATCCAAGGAAGTAAAGCCGTTTGTGTACCCCAGGATGCAGACTTGGCACCTCCTCCCAGACATCACTGAGAACCTGCCCCACTATGAGGGATGTGCCAGAAGGACTGGAAAAAGCTCTGGCATGAGCCCTGTTGCTGACTACATGGGTGTGAAGCCTGTTCTTTTAAGGGGTGGATACTTGTTGGGCAGAGATGTTGGTAGTGGTGGGCTCCCCATCTGCTGTGGTTAAAAGGGCATCTCCCAAACCTTAGCAGAGCCACGCAAGGGAACCATGACTTTGGAAATAGCTCCTAGCCACAGTGTGCCTCAATCTGCCTGTATTTCCCAGAGGTTGGCAGTCTAAAGAAGGATGTAGGTTCCCTGGCTTGCTACTGTGACACCCAGGACAATCAGGTGGTGCCATGAGCAGAGAGAGGGCCTCTGAGTGCAGGATGGAGTTAAGTTAGAGGAACAGCTGCTTCTGGTGGAGCATTCAGAGGAGAGGCTTCTGGGCAGAGAGGGGCAGTGCACTGGGTTGAGGAAGGGAGGAGACAGCACTGGAGCACACAGTTTTTAGTTTCCGTCCCATTGAAAGATTGTCACCAAGGGAAAAGTGGGACTGGGAGTCCTCATGGGGAGGGGTGGCTGGATTCATCTATGACTATACAAGCCTTAAGGGGGTGACTGTTGTTGTGGATGGAAATCTAGAGGTGCCTCAGAGGGACCTTCAGTGCCCTTCTTCTTCCTGTAGATGCACTCCCCTCCTCGGAGGATGACGATGACGATGATGACTCCTCTTCAGAGGAGAAAGAGACAGATAACACCAAACCAAACCGTATGCGTGAGACACTGTTTCCTTCCTTACTGCCTTTGGGGCCTGGGAGTTGGGTTTAAGCGGGAAGTGGGAGGCTTCATTGAAGCGGGAAGGAAGAAGCAGAGGGCACCCAGGGTCATGGTGCCTAGTTGCCCTCCCTTTAAATGTTCTGATAATTGCTGGGCACTGCTCTCAAGGGTTGGGCAGATGGGTGGGGCGCCTCCAGGTCCTACCCAGATCTTGTCCCAGAGCCTGACCATCCCTCTCCCCCATCCCTCTTGTCTCTCTTGGCTTTCCCTGGGCAGCCGTAGCTCCATATTGGACATCCCCAGAAAAGATGGAAAAGAAATTGCATGCAGTGCCAGCTGCCAAGACAGTGAAGTTCAAATGCCCTTCCAGTGGGACACCCAACCCCACACTGCGCTGGTTGAAAAATGGGAAAGAATTCAAACCTGACCACAGGATTGGAGGCTACAAGGTACACACGTGTATACACAGATATGAACAGCAGAAAACTTTGAGAAAAGGGAATGGAAGAGCTGAGATAGATAGATGATCCTTACTTATTACATGCCTTTAATTAGTGTTTTGTTTGTGTTTTTTTTGTTGAGGTTTTTGGTACTAAGGATGGAAGCCAGGGCCTTATGCACGTTAAACACACACTCTACCACTGAACAGCTATACCATCAGCCCCCTTTAATTGTTTCAAATAATGCTTTTTAACTATAATGGTAATGTATTTTTAAAAATTTCAATCTAAAAAAATGTGAATAAATTTTAAAATCTTTTTTTAATGTGTATAGCAGTTTAACAAAATTGATCATGTTGTATAATTTCTTATTATTTGTTAACAACACTATGAGTCTTTTTCAAGCATGAATGTTTGAACAGTAATTTTTCGTGGTTTACTTAAGATTCCATTATAACTATAAAGCACTAATAATTTTTTTTTTTTTTTAAGATTTCATTATAGGCTGGGATTGTAGCTCAGTAGTAGAGCGCTTGCCTCGCACAGGTGAGGCACTGGGTTCAATTCTTAGCACCACATAAAAGTAAATAAATAAACTAAAGGTATTGTGTCCATCTACAACTAAAAAAATTTTTTTTGAAATATTTTATTATAGCCAAGCATGGGGGTGCACACCTGTAATTTTAGCTACTAGGAAGGCTTAGGTGGGAGGATCCCAAGTTTGAGGACAGCATCCACAATTTAGCAAGACCCTGTCCCAGATTTTTAATTTTTTTATTGTTTTGTACCAGTGATTAAATCCAGGGGCACTTAACTACTGAGCTCCCACCCCCAGCCCTCCACCCACCCCACCTTTTTTAAGTTGTCAATGGACCTTTCTTTTATTTATCTTTATGTGGTGCTGAGGATCGAACCCAGTCCCTCACACATGCCAGCCAAGCACTCTACCACTGAGTTACAGCCCCAGACCCTTTTTATTCTTTTTTGGCGGGGGGAGTGGCAGGGGGGATTGAACCCAGGGCCTTGTGCATGTACTCTACCAACCAAGCTATATCCGCAACCCCTTATTTTTTATTCTGAGACAGGGTCTTGCTAAGTTGCTTAGGGCCTCATGAATTTGCAATTCTCTGTCTTAGCCTCTGAAGCTGCTGGAATTACAGATGTGCATCAGAATATTTTTTAAAAGGGTTGGGGATATAGCTCAGTAGTAAAGTGCCCTGGATTCAATCCCTAGTACCAAGAGAAGAAAGAAAAAAAGGAAAGAAGGTTCCATTGTAAAAATACCCTGTGATTTTAATGAACAATTTGAGCTATTAGATATTTTCTAGTTTTTCACCAACGTAATTGTTACAGAAGATATAATCAGCATTTTGAAATGTGTGTCCTTAGGACAGACTGCTGGAAATAGTTTTCAGGTCAAAGGATGTGAGTGTTTTTTAAACTGTTGATTCATATTACCCAATTACTACTACTATTTTTTTTTTTTTTTTTTTTTTTGTAGGCTGGGGATTCAACCCGGGGCCTTGCACTTCCTAAGCATATACTCTCTTATTGAGCTGCATCTCCAAGCTCCAATTACTTTCTTAAAAGGGGAAAATTAATTCACCTTCCCATAGTAGAGTATGAGAATGACAAGTTTACTAGACCTCTGCCAACAGATTAAGACAAAAAGTTGTTTTTGGTTTTTTTGTTTTGTTTTGTTTTGCGGTGGTTGGGGTGGAACCAGGGACTGAACTCAGGGGCTCTTGATCAGTGAGGCACATTCCCAGCTCTATTTTGTATTTTATTTAGAGATAGGGTCTCACTGAGTTGCTTAGCGCCTTGCTTTTGCTGAGGCTGGCTTTGAACTGGTAGTCCTCCTGCCTCAGCCTCTCAAGCCATAGATTTTCTTTTTCTTTTTCTTTCTTTCTTTCTTTTTTTTTTTTTTGTGTGTGTGTGTTGTTTTCCTTATTAATTAAATTAGAAATCTCATGTTAATAAGCAACTTTCATTTCCTCTGGTAAATTCTGTTATATCCTTTGTCCGTTTGTATTTATAGGAAGAACATCTTTGTCTTAAGCCTTTCTTCAGAGTCTCTGATAATGTTTAACTTTCGTATCATCTAGCTTCTTTTCTAAGCAGAGGGAACCAGAAAGAATAGGGAAAGGTTTTTAAGTTCATTCACCAAGCACTTACTGTCTGCAAGTTACTGTGTTTCAGATGGGACAACATAGCATTCCTGCCCATAAAGATATTCTGGTCTAATAAGAGGGCACATGTCCATGAGAAGCTATTTTTAAAATGAGACCATGATTAGTGCTTCAGTGGAGATGCAGAAGAGGAAAGGATGAGAACAGATCTGACCAGATAGTCAACTTGAGGCAAAGATGAGTTTTGAAATGAAGTGTCAGAGGCAGCCAAGAACTATTAAGGAGGCTCTCTTAGGAGGAGAGCACAAGAATGGCACAAGAATGGAATGGACAGAAGTGCAGATTGGGAAGATTCCTAGTGAATTGGGGAGAGAGTGCAGAAAGCACATTTGCCCACATCATGGCTGGCCTTAAATGCCACAGTGAAGATGTTCAGAGTTCTCAGACCCATCTGCCATTTTGCAGGATATGTTCTCTCTGAGTATAAATGGGTAAATGGGTGGGCCCTTTCTACTTGGTTCTGACTAACATTGCAGCCTGGGGCCACATGCTGCCTGCTCTGATTGGAAGGGGCTGTGCTACGGGGTGCCAGTACCGCCTTGTGGCTTTCACCTGCATTCTCCTTCAGACTCTCAATGGAACCCTTTGGCATGTATCCCTGCAGGTCCGTTATGCCACCTGGAGCATCATAATGGACTCTGTGGTGCCTTCAGACAAAGGCAACTACACCTGTATTGTGGAGAATGAGTATGGCAGCATTAACCACACCTATCAGCTCGACGTCGTGGGTAAGTCAGCCAAAGTGGCAGGAGTAGGCTTGGAGGAAAGGGCAGGGGCTGGCAAACACAGGATTCCTAGATAGCATGTAGCACTGCACTTCCTCTACTAAGCCTGACTTTTCTTATCTACAAAATAGAGTGAAGAAGGTCAGACAAAGATACATCTGAAAGCTATATGTTACTGTGGAGCAGAAGATGCTATTGATGGTCCATCCTGAAAGATGTGGCTTGTGCATTGATGCTAAATGTAGCATAATGTTAGCACATAACCTTGAGGCTTAGTGAGGCCAGACACTCTGTGAATGTAGAATCATAGCATGTACCCACTCTGGGGCATCACAGGAGACTCCAAGAGGAATACCATGCCCCTTGGGACTATGATTGCAGCCCAGTTCTTCTAGAAGATCTGGATCTCATGCTCCCAAGATCTTGGGGTGCAATGTCACAGCCAGCATCCTGCCCTGGCTTTGATAGTATATTCTGAGAAGATTGTGGTCCCAGAGGTCTGGCGTAGGTCTTAGATTCTGGTTTTTGACAAGCTCTTGGTTGATGCTGCCATTGCTGCTCTTGACTATGCTCAGGACAGCAAGAGTCTGAGTGACTATGATTCTAGTTGACAAGTAGGCTGTGGATGTTACAGGTAGACTGGGGATGTGACTGAGTTGCAGCGTTCTTCATGTAGACAAGAATCTGACTGTGTCTGTGAATGTGGGTACATTGCCTCAGAGAGGAGGTTCCTGAGGGCTTGGGGCTAGAAGACAGTATCCCTTCTCCCAGGTTCAAGGGCTCAGCAGAAGCACCAGGAAGGGCACTGCCTATCACTGGGAAAGCTGAGGGGGCACCAATGTGGGCATACCTCTCTTTAGGATGATATCCTCTGTCAGCATCCCAGCCAGGACCAGATCATGGCAGGGTCTGACAAGCCTGTCCTCTCCATTGTTCTACAGAGCGGTCACCACACCGGCCTATCCTACAGGCAGGATTGCCTGCCAACAAGACAGTGGCCCTGGGCAGCAATGTGGAGTTCATGTGTAAGGTGTACAGTGACCCACAGCCCCACATCCAGTGGCTGAAGCACATCGAGGTGAATGGGAGTAAGATTGGTCCAGACAACCTGCCTTATGTCCAGATCTTGAAGGTAATCTTGGCCCCAGTTTTTATGGGCCAGTGTGCTGGGAAGGTGACCAATATCTCCTAGGGGCTCAAGTCTCTGTGGTCAGGCCCAGTACCTAGGACTGGGACTAAACCCTTAACCTTCAGGCATACACTCGCCATAGTAGGGTTCTAACCACATTCCCTAGGACTAGTGACATATCACAAAGTAGATGTGAGCTGGGAACACGTGGCTGGGGAGTGAGCCATGCCAGTTTCTAAAAGTGTGGAAAGTGACAGCTAGGACTTCTGGGTCAGCCACTCAGTGCATTTGGATTCCTGTTTATTCATTGCCTGAGACCAAAAACTTTCCAGGTAGGGTCTCCTGGTCTTGACCCTGCTAGATTCCCAAGTTAGGGTGTTTCAGCAAGTGGGTGAATGATAACAAAGTTTAGTTGGAAAAGCAAATGCCACTTATAAATTCTAAGCGGTATGAGGAGTAATGGCATTTTCTTCCTTTTTCCTTTCACTCCCAGACTTTCATTGTCCCTGAATGCTCCATTAATCAAGGGAAGGTAATTGGCTAAATCTCCAGTGGATCTTGCAACAGGAAGTAACCAGAAGCTGGGAAAGTGGTTTACCTTCTTGTCCCAGAGTTAGACCGCATCCTCCCCTGACTTGGCTGTCCCAAAGATTTATCGGCTGACCCTTCCCTCCACCACTGGTGCTGAAACTACTCTGGAGGAAAAGGGGTCATAGCCTTGGCCTTGGCCTGTTTCCATAATACCTGCTTCAGTCCTGAAGGAGTGGGTTTAACACAAATAGAACATTTGCTTTGGGACAGTGGTTTCTTTCTTTTTAAAAAAATTTTAATCAAATGTTTCAGAGGGGCCAACCTTGTTTTGTCCTACTCAAAAGGGGAAAATTATAAATCCCTCAGTGTTTCCCTTGCCTTGGCTCCATGGGCCTGCCTGAAAGTGACACAGGAGCAAAGTATGGCCACATCTCAGTGTTTGCCCAACTGACTGGTGTGTCGTTGGTTTGTTCCAGCATTCGGGGATTAATAGCTCGGATGCGGAGGTGCTGACCCTGTTCAATGTGACAGAGGCCCAGAGCGGGGAGTATGTGTGTAAGGTTTCCAATTATATTGGTGAAGCTAACCAGTCTGCGTGGCTCACTGTCACCAGACCTGTGGCAAAAGGTAAAGGGGAGATGGACGGGACCTTGTGCTGGGAACTTGATTTAGGCCCCACACTGCTGGGGCAGGAGGGGAAGCGAGCGCCGACTCTCCCTGTTATCCTACTGTATTCCTAGTGCCCAGAGCCATGGAAAAATACCTGGCCTGGGAGGCTGGTTTGGTTTGGTACTGTGTTGGTGGCTCCCTCTGTGCCTCTTGTGTGTTCCTTGGCTGTATGTATATCTGCATATGGACTTTTGCTGTGTTAGGAATGATGGTTTGAGTGGTGGATGAAAGAAGGGACCAGGTGTTCCCTTGCAAGGTGTGTGTGTGTGTGTGTGTGTGTGTGTGTGTGCACGCACAGCACCCTTCCTTCCCTTCTGTGTATACCTTAACTTTCTTTACCTGAAACCAAACAGCCCCCCACCTGCCAGGCCCCATTTCTCCATGCCGCCCACCGCCCGCATGCTTGGATGGGCCAGTGGCTGCCAGCGTCTGGTGAAGGGTCATAACCAGCCATCCTCTTCTCAGGTCTGCCGGAGTTCCTCCCTCAGGGCCTCAGTCTCTTCCTCTAACAGGTCTCGCTGCCTGGTGGTTTTTGTTTGTTCCTTATTGCAAAGGAGACGCTGGGGAGCATTTCTTCCTCTGGTTTTTTTTCCCCTCTTCTCTCTCTCTCCCTTTCTCTGTGTCTCTTCGAGGTCCCATGTCTGGTGCTTGTCCATTTTGCTTCCGTTGTCTCTTCTAGACTGCCGGAGTTAATACCACCGACAAAGAGATGGAAGTGCTTCATTTAAGAAATGTCTCCTTTGAGGACGCGGGGGAGTATACGTGCTTGGCGGGTAACTCTATCGGACTCTCCCATCACTCTGCATGGTTGACCGTTCTGGAAGGTATACACTGTACTTCTCCTCTCGATGTCCTGCCCTTGCCATGGGCACGGGGGGAGCATGCATTGTGTGGCTAGGGGACATACAGTGCCAGGAGAGGTGGGTAGAGGGATGGCTCCTGCCTACCATGTGCCCTTTTTTGCTCCACCTTGGAGGGTTGCATCCTCTCGGCTCAAGAGGTTCCTGGTTTTGCAGGAACACAGAGGTGTTCCACCTGTATACCTGCATCTGTCTCTCCCCTTGGCCAATGCAATGCATGCACGGGCTCTGGTTTACCGTGCAGCTGGGCCCTTCTCCAGGGCAGGCTCCTTCCCTCCTTGGGTCCAGCAGCTTTCCCTCATCCACTTGGTGCTGAGTGTCTTAATTTCCAATATTGTTTTGGCCAGTCCCAAGTGTCAGAAAGGCTTGCCATTTGAAGGACCAGCGCTGGTCCACCCCTCTATACTGCCATCCTCTGTCACTACCTAGACAGTAAACTTCAGCTGCCTTGAGTCAGACCTGTCTCTGGAAGCTACTGGAGGCATGATGATCCTCTCTGGCTACTGCCAACCCTCCTCTCTCAAGAAAGGAGGTCTGTATGTTGAACCAGGACAGAAGGAGCCTGCAACCTGTGTAGGGTGGTGGACTGGTGACTGCAGGGCCAATGCTAGTTGTGACTGCATCTCTAAGGGACCTGCATGTGGTCTGGGTGCTGCTGTGTCCTGTGGCTGCTTAGACTGCCCTCCTTTCTCTTCTCTTTCCCTATGCCCCTGTCTGATCTGCTTGTCCAGCAAGGTTTCACAATGCCCTGCTTGTGACAGAGAAGTGTTCTGTTTTTATCATTGTTCCTGTCTCTGTCCTGTCTGTGCTCCCAATGAGTTGTCTTCGTTTCTCAACATTGGGGAAAGAAAAAACAGAACCTTTCTCCACTAGAACCCTTCTCCCCTTATTAGCTCAGCTGTCTCCTTGTCAGGACTTGAGGCTCACTCCAGGGCTGTGCTTTGTGCCCCTCTGGGAGGGCTCCCAGGGATGCCACCTTCCTGGTAGCTGGCTGGTGTTTTAAAGGGAGGATTGGGAGAACTATAGAAGGGGGAGGACTGTCCACATGGTGGGGCAGAGAGTGCTCCCTGAAGCTGGCACCAAGTTTCTCGTGTTGAAGGAAAAGGTGAACTAACTGGTGTGGCTTCTGTAGGCATGGGTGTGAATTCTAAGTAGAGGGCAGGAGAAGAGAATAAAATAATGCCTCCTTCCATTTCCTAAAGTTTTGAGTCCTACAGAACCTGTGGAGTTCTTAAGAATAGGGGAAAAAAAAAGTTTGTTTTTCATCTAGAGCAGTCTAAACATGTTTAAAAGTCAAAATCAGTTTTGCCTGGGGCTGGGGATGTGGCTCAAGCCTGGCATGCGCGGGTCGCTGGGTTCGATCCTCAGCACCACATAAAAATAAAATAAAGATGTTGTATCTACCGAAAACTAAAAAATAAATATTAAAAAAATTCTAAAAAAAAAAAAATCAGTTTTGCCTGAGGTTTGGCAAGGTATAAATATTTACATGTCTGACCTGACAGATGACACAGACGTGAGGCGGGATGTTTAGTCAGGACACAGGCGGGTCCCTACCTTCCCTTTCTTTGTCCCCTGAATTACCCTGTATTGCCAGGTATTGCAGCATACAGGGCTGAACGAGATATAGGCCCCACCTTCAATGACCTCCTGGGCCCTTGGGGACAAGGTCTCAGAAACTGTCTGTTCCCATGTGATAAGTGTGTGTGTACAGTGCTGAGGCTGTGCTGAGAAGGGCCTTGTTTCCATGAGGAGCCTGAGAAAGGCATGCGAAGAGACTTCTCAGCTGCTTCTGGGGTACCTGATAACCTGTCTAGCCAGCAGTTCATTCTTGTGAGCGAGGAGTGTCTGGGATAAGGGAGGATGGGACTTGTGTAGCGAGATAGTCTAGTCCATTCCCTTTAAGGGCTTCAAGTCAGTTTAAAGACAACATAAAAGTTTCAGGACGTCTAATCCCCTGTGTTAGAATCACAATCCTAGCTAGGACCTGTCTTGGTTCTTCCCCCTCCCTAAAAGTTCCCAGGGGAAAGGAGATGGGTTTCATGTTTCTTATGGAGCAGGGCCTCTTATGGACGGGGGCCCCCAGAGCCTGCTAACAACCTGTTCACACTGACTCAGCCCTGGAAGAGAGACCGGCAGTGATGACCTCACCCCTATACCTGGAGATCATCATCTACTGCACAGGGGCCTTCCTCATCTCCTGCATGGTGGGCTCTGTCATCATCTACAAGATGAAGAGTGGCACCAAGAAGAGTGACTTCCATAGCCAGATGGCCGTGCACAAGCTGGCCAAGAGCATCCCTCTGCGCAGACAGGTAACAGAAAGTAGATGGGGGATTCGCATGCTCTCTGCCACCTTCTCTTCCTGGGCCTCCAGGGACTTCTCTCACATGATTTCATGCCTTGTCCCCTCCACTATCCCTAATCTTCTTCAGGCTTTGCTTTCTGGCCTCTAGGCCTCTGGAACGTTCTAGGTGTTCCCAAATCAGTTTCACACTGCTGTTCATGCCTGTAAAGTCACAAATACAGCTGCCCCACTCACCTGGCACTGAATTTAGAGAAAGTCTTGTCTTAAATATGAAGCTGATATCATGCATTTGGACTGTCCCCAGGGCTGATTAGAGGTGGAGAAGGCCTGATTAGGTCCTCCATGCCCCCCTCCTTTTAGTGTGCCCCTCCCTCAGGAAAGAAACCTCCCAGGAGGTGAAGGTGTATGCAGGAATGACCATTCACTCAGAACACTGCTGACTCTGGAAGTTGCTTTAGGGGTTAGGAAACTATAATCTGAGGCAAGGTTTTTACAAAGAATTGGGAAAAGAATAGTTTTGTTATTGTGATAGAGCTGTAAAATATCAAGCTGAAAGAAGTACATTTGGGTGTGTTCATTTAAAAGGTGAGTAAAGTGAAGTCCAGAAAGGCTAGTCAGGTGGTGGAAATCAGTCAAGTTCTAGAACTTTGGTCTTCTGACCTCAGATGGTCTTTCTGCCACTCTGCATTGAGGGAAGCATGTCATGTATACAGAAGCGTACCTCTGCCATGGTTAAAAGCCCTGATGAGGAACTGAAAGGAACCTGCTACTGCCACTCCCCCGCTCCCCACACCCTTGCTAGAAGGGTGACCCCACTCTCCCCTGCAGGTGTCAGCTGACTCCAGTGCATCCATGAACTCTGGGGTACTTCTGGTTCGACCCTCTCGTCTCTCCTCTAGTGGGACCCCCATGCTAGCTGGGGTCTCTGAATATGAGCTTCCTGAAGATCCCCGCTGGGAGCTACCCAGAGACAGGTACTACTCTAACTCCCAAGTTTTTCAGGACTCCCGTTGCTTGTCATTCTATGATGGGAACTGTGTATACCATGAATTCCAGGGAGTAAAGGTATATGAGTGCTTCCAGAGCGAATGCTGCCTGCTCTGTGCTCTCACTTGGATGAAATATGGAGAGGCAGAGATGGGGTGTCATAAAGACTTTTGACTTTTACTAGCCCCAGCTTACACTGTTCTCTTTTCCCCACAAAAGACTGGTCTTAGGTAAACCCCTGGGAGAAGGCTGCTTTGGGCAGGTGGTATTGGCAGAGGCCATTGGGCTGGACAAGGACAAACCCAACCGTGTGACCAAAGTGGCCGTGAAGATGTTGAAGTGTAAGTAATGTTTCTGCCTTGCAAAAGAAAACCCTTCCCTTTCTAGGCAAACTAGAGTCTCAACCAAGTGGGATACCTTCTCTGGTGCTTTCAGTGCCTATACCTGCTATGCTGCCTACATGGGTTACCTGCGAGTAGAAGGGCATTCTGTGCCCTGAGATGTGAGATGGCTATTATCATTTCACCTCGTTCGTTTTTTTTTTGGTACTGGGGATTGAACCCAGGGGCACTTAACCGTACTTAACCACTGAGCCACATCCCCAGCCCTTTTTATATTTTATTTAGAGACAGGGTCTCACTAAAGGCCTTGCTAAGTTGCTGAGGCTGGCTTTGAACTCACGATCCTCCTGCCTCAACCTCCCAAGCCGCTGGGATTACAGGCATGCACCACCGTGCCCAGCTTCACCTCATTCTTGATGTCATCCTGGGCTGTGCTCAAGTGCTCATTCTAGATCCCATAACTGATTTTTCTTACTGTATCCCTGGACACACTTGCTACCATATATTGTAGAATTGGCTCCCATAGGGAAGGGAAAATAAACTTGGGAAGTGGGGAGGGGAAAAGCAAGTTCTGGAGCGAAGAGTCTCCTCAGGCATACACCCTTCCCCTGTCCTTTACCTGTCCTTCCCCCTCCCTCCATAATATCGTTAAAGAGTTTCACACCCATTCTCTGGTTTGTATGTGAAGCGGATGCAACAGAGAAGGACCTGTCAGACCTCATCTCAGAGATGGAAATGATGAAGATGATTGGGAAACACAAGAACATCATCAACCTGCTGGGGGCCTGCACACAAGATGGTAGGGTCTGGCCTCTTGAGTGTCAGTGATAAGGATTCTCTCTCGGGGTTAAGAGGAGAGGCTAGTTTAGCAGTGGATAGAATGTATTTTTTTGGATCTGAACTGGTGCCCATTGGTGTTCATCTGAGAATACAGGCATTTACATTCACACATATTGTATGGGCAGGAATAGAGAAGTAATTGTGGTCTAAATTAAGGCTCTTACCCCCAGTGTTGCTTGGGAACTTTCTAGGCTGTGGTCGGAAGAATTGTTTCTCTGACTTTCTTTGGGTAGTAAATGACTTTTCCTGTTGTCAGGAGGTAGAAACAGAATTTAAGATCGGGGAACATATGTATGGTGTGTTTTGGGGATTGGTATTTCCTCCAGCTGATGCTAAACCTGCTACTTGACTTGCTGTATCCTCATCTTGTGCTCCCAGGTCCTTTGTACGTCATCGTGGAGTATGCTTCTAAGGGTAACCTGCGGGAGTTCCTGCAGGCCCGGAGGCCCCCAGGTCTGGAATACTGTTACAACCCCAGCCACAACCCAGAGGAACAGCTTTCCTCCAAGGACCTGGTATCCTGTGCCTATCAGGTGGCCCGAGGCATGGAATATCTTGCCTCCAAGAAGGTATGGAACCTAAAGGCTCCATGAATGAGGTTGGGATGGGACAAAGCCCTCCTAGTACTCCAACTTGTGACTTTTAATCTTTTGGTAGAGTTATACACATATTGACTGCTGACCACATGTGCTGTCTTAGGCTTTCAGGGAACCTCAGAGGCAAGAGAGAGGGTGTAGCCTGATGGCTTTGGGATCAGACTGCAGTAGGTTCCAATCTGTTTTCTACCACTTTCTGTGTAGCCTTGGAAAGCTATCAAACATCTTTTTTTATTCAAATACAAAATGATAATAATACTTATGTTATGGGAATAAAATGAAACCATATCTGTGACAGTAAAAATTAAGTGTAGTTCTCGGTGCTCAGTAATTGGTGGCTTTCTTTGAACACCAGCTCACCATGGATAGGCTGTGCCTAGAGAGACAGGGCTTACATTCTTTTTATTTTATTTTATTTTAATATTTTGTTTTAGTTGTTGATAGACTTTTATTTAATTTTATTTATTTATATGCGGTGCTGAGAAACGAACCCAGTGCCTCACACATGCCAGGCAAGTGTACTACCACTGAACCACAGCCCCAGCCCCTTGAAGATCATTCTTTGGGGTGAGAATCCAGAAGCTCAGAGTTAGAAGGACCAGAACAGAGGCCTATAAGAAATATTGTCTAGAATGATTGAGAGGCCTGGAACTGGAGGTGTTTGGGGTAGAGGAAAAGAACATTCTAGGAGGGGAAATAGATGCTGAGAGGGTACAGCATGGCAGATGACCTGGGTCTGCTGCTGGCTGCAGAGTGAGTGCTAAAGCGGAGGGGACTCTGACAGCTGGATCACAGTGTATGTTTCAAGACTGTCACCTGCCCCCCACCCTCCTCTCTGTAGTGCATACACCGAGATCTAGCTGCCAGGAATGTCTTGGTGACAGAGGACAACGTCATGAAGATTGCAGACTTTGGCCTAGCTAGGGACATTCACCACATTGACTACTATAAAAAGACAACCAACGTAAGTGCTGCCTGGGGCTTGTCCTCCACCCTGGGCACTCTCTTACCAGGCATCCCCCACTTAGGTGTCTCTGCTGTAACCCACCTGGGTTGCTGTCCTTGCAGGGTGGAAGGGTGGGTTGAAGTTATGCACTGACCTCCCCCTGCCTGTGCCCTCCCTGTCCTGGGCTATCCCCAATCTTCTCATGCTGCTCACAGGGCCGGCTACCTGTTAAGTGGATGGCTCCTGAGGCACTGTTTGACCGGATCTATACCCATCAGAGTGATGTGTGAGTTTGAATAAGCAATCGCCAGGGGTTCTGAGTGTGGGAGTCCTGATGCCCCCTGGATTGATGAGAGTCTCCTGTGTTGGAGAAACAACACCAACATTATTTTATCCACTAGCTTTGTCCCTATATGTTGAGAGCACCAGTCTTCTCCTTGTATTCCCCTTGGAGTTAAGAGTTGTGTTGGGACAGGGGGAGGTTTGGGATGGGTACTTGCAATGCTGGCTTCTGAAAGGGAGACAGGAAAACCCAACTCTGTTCCCTGAGACACAGTGGCTCTGTGCTCATCTGCAGGTGGTCTTTTGGGGTGCTCCTGTGGGAAATCTTCACTCTGGGTGGTTCCCCGTATCCCGGTGTGCCTGTGGAGGAGCTTTTCAAGCTGCTGAAGGAAGGTCATCGAATGGACAAACCCAGTAACTGCACCAACGAGCTGTAAGCTTGAGAAGATTCCTCAGCCAAGCCCTGGGGGGAAGAATGGACTTGATGGCAGAGGGAGAGGGGTGTTCATCTAGAGAAGTAACCCCTCCTAGCCATCCTTCCCCTAAGGCCTCCGACGCATCTCTCTACTTCTGTCCTTCCTACCTGACCTCACAATCTTGCACAGGTACATGATGATGCGGGACTGCTGGCATGCGGTGCCCTCTCAGAGACCTACCTTTAAGCAGCTGGTGGAAGACCTGGACCGCATTGTGGCCTTGACCTCCAACCAGGTAAGACTGGCGGCCCTCAGGCCATCATCATATGGGTATGTGTGGCAAACCCTGCTGCACGGAGGGGCATGCCCTACCATCATTCTCTCTCACCTATCACAGGAGTATCTGGATCTGTCAATGCCCCTAGACCAGTACTCTCCCAGCTTTCCTGACACCCGAAGCTCTACCTGCTCCTCGGGGGAGGATTCCGTCTTCTCTCATGAGCCGTTGCCTGAGGAGCCCTGTCTGCCCCGACACCCTACCCAACTTGCCAATGGTGGACTCAAACGACGCTGACTGCCACCCTCCTCCTTCCCCAACCTCCATCATCAACTGTGTCCCTCACCCACAGTTCCCTGGACTCACTGCCTTTCCCCACCCCTTTTCTGCTGGCAGGAGCCAGCTGCCTACTTGAGGCCTTCCTGTGTGGCCTGCCTGCACCCACTGAGCTCTCTCTCTTCCTCCTCTTCCTCTCAACCTGCTTGTGAGAGAGAGGAGTAAAGAGGCAGGTACTTGCTGGTGGCCACTTTGTTCCCTCCCAGGTGTTGGACCAAGACCCTTCCCTGTCACCCAGCACTGCCTGGAAGGTCGGGGAGTGGGTAGTGAGCAGGCATGCAAGTGAGAGCTTTACTGAGCTTTCTAGTATTGGTATTGTCTGTTTCACCTTAACCTGTCAGCCCCTTGCATTCTGGTGGCAGGTGCCTTGTCCTCAGGGCTACAGCTGTAGGGAGCTCAGTGCTTCGGCCTCAATTGAAGGTGACCTCTGCTCCAGATGGATGGTGCCAGTGGCTTATTAATTCCAATAATAATTTGCTTTGCTGACCAAATACCTGGTACCAGAGGATGATGAGGCAAAGACTGGGAGCAGTGATGTGGCCCTGGGGCCCAGCCCTGAACTGGGGGCTTTGTACATAGCTACGAAGAAAACACAAAGTGTATAAATCTGAGTATATATTTACATGTCTTTTTAAAAGGGTCGTTACCAGAGATTTACCCATTGGGTAAGATGCTCCTGGTGGCTGGGAGGCATCAGTTGCTATATATTAAAAAAAAAAAAAGAAAAAAAAGAAAATGAAAAAAAAAAGGAAAATGTTTTTAAAAAGGTCATATATTTTTTGCTACTTTTGCTGTTTTATTTTTTTAAATTATGTTCTAAACCTATTTTCAGTTTAGGTCCCTCAATAAAATTTGCTGCTGCTTCATTTTTATATGGGCTGTGTGAAAAGGGAGCAACTGAACACAGGAAAGGAGGGAGACTGAGGGCCCCGGGGCTGTCTGTCCAGCAGGCATCATGTTCCCTGCAGTTCCCTTGTAACCTCTTCCTCCTAGGTCGTGCACCCAGACCTCCAGAACAAACCTCCTACCTCTCCCATGCTTTTGGAAAGGCAGGAAAAGAAGATGTCTGCATCTTGGCAGGAACTGTGCCCCAGAGGTTCTGGACAGAGAGCCAAGACTGAGCAGCCCACAACCACAGATTGTTTCCTCAGAGGAAGCAGGGAAGGGGCCACAGAGAGAGGGCCTTGGAACAGCCAAGGGGTAAAATCTACAGTGACTGAGAGGAAAGCTAAGGATCGTTCAGAAGGGTCTGCTAAGACTCAGGCCCAGATAGGCAGCTCCCCCAACACCCAGGATGTGGGTGTGGCTTGGGCTGTGCCTCTGAGTGAAGGAAAACTTGTCATGTACTTCAACATTCAGGTCCCTTGCTCTATCTTTTCCAGACTCCTCTGTTCATTATTGTCCCCCAAACCATTCTTCTGTATGTGTATGACCAGACTGCATTTGTTGGGTCTATCACAGATCTTGGCTTCCTATAGTTCTTCCTCTACAAACTCCACCTCCAAACTCCACCTCGTCCCTCAGGAAAGGGGGAAAAAATTCTCTAAATGTTTTGGTTTTTGGCTGCTTGAAAGCTTCTGCCACCTGCTGGTTGTCACTATCCTCACCAAGTGGATTCTGGCTCTTCTGTACCTTATTGTTCAACCTAGTACTACTCAGCCTGTCCTTTAGGCTTGCTTTCTGCTGGGCTACTGCTGAAACAAAAATGGTCAGCATTTCTGTAGGGGAAATGGGATTGCTGCTTTAAATTTCCTTTCTGAGCTGGGCATATTTTGGCAGCAGCAGTGTTGGTAACCATTGTACAATTTCCTGTCTTTGTTTTTCTCTGTAAATATGCAATTGTTGGCATATTGCCATTTGTGTTTATGTTTAAAGAAGGCATAATTCAGTGAACGGAACCAGGAAATGAATTTTAGCTCTTAAAATCATGTGCTTTGAGACCATATAGTAGTGTCTTTCCTTGTAGTGGTGATAATTTCTGCCTTGGCCCTACCTTGATATGATTTTGTTTGAGTGGATGGAGGCTCTATAAAGGGCTTTATATGCCTGCCTGTAGGAGAGAAATATAAGGCACTATTATTATAACAGTGATGTCCTTGATATTACTACTCACAATCACCCACAAATTTCCCCAGAGGCTGGGTTGGCTGTCAAATAAAAGATAGTGAAATTGACCTGAGAGAAAATGAAATGGCCATTTTACTTAGATGACCAGATTGGTTCTCTTGGGGAAGGGAATCCAGTTTATCTAATGAAGACATTGTGCTGTCAAAGTGCTGAATCTGTCTGGTTTCCTGAGGGTTAAAAGATTAGGGCCTGGGATCACCACAGCATTAATCAATACTGCCTTTCCATCTTTCCTAATTGCCATAGGCTGAAGATCATCATTCCCTTGGCCCTGCTAATGTAATGTATTGATCTCAGGTAAGTAAGATTGAACATGAAATGAAACAAGAAATCTATCTTAATGAAGTTACTGTGTCTGTCAGCCACCACTGGGTGGCGCCAGCAAGCTAAATTCGCACCATTAGGTAATGCGTCAGTTTGCTTTGAAGTAACATTAGCCTGACCTTACCTGTGAATGTGTACTGGTGGTGAATGGGAAGTCTTTAGCCTAGGTTTAGCATTACAGAACACTGATTGGATATCACCAATATGACTTGTGATTAAAGTACAGTATTAAATGTGGCACTAGGGTAGGACCATAAAGGCCACAAACTCCTGTTCTCTGTGTGTGAGACACAGGCCAAGTCTAACATCACTGGTTGTATGTTAGAGAATACCAGAAATCCATGAGGTCATTAGCAGCTGGTAGAGACAGGCACCTGCATCTGCAGAGAAGAGTAGAGAAGAGTGAGATAGAAAGGAGAGGGCTTTGAAGCAACCTTGTATTGCCTTCCATTCCCTCAGCTGATAAGCCAGGAAGGGGGGAGATCAACAAGAACCCAGGTGTAAAGAAGTCTTGGTCTGAGGCAAGTTCCCTCTGGTTGACACTTTAGCAATATTCAGAACTGTCTGTATCATTCTGCCTCCAAGATGCATGCTGTGGCACACAGAAGTGATGCATTGAAAAACCCTGTGTTGTCAACTAATTCAGCTGTCTCCTGTGACTCTATGAGGCCTAGGGCCAGTTGTGTGCTTTCTCAAAAGCCAGTTGGGCACATCTCTTCCCAACTCTGCATTGTTCAGTCATTTCATATTGGTGGCCTAAAATCAGCCATGATAGAAGAATTACATCACTGAAACCTGCAAGTGCTTCAAATCAGAGGAATGTTCCCCTCAGATTTGGTTGTTAATCATGCCAGAGCAACACCAGCCAGGTTTGGCATGGGGCTAAATCTAACAATCGTGGAACCTAAAAGCCAAGCACCCTACGTGATGAGTATAAAGAAACATCCCTGAGTTTTCTTGGATGAGTTACTCTCTTTTTAAGAGTGAGAAGAGGGGGCTGGGGCTGTAGCTCAGTGGTAAAGCACTTGCCTCACATGTGTGAGGTACTGGATTCAATCCTCAGCACCACATAAAAATAAATAGATACTGTGTGTTCATCTACAACTAAAAACATTAAAAAAAAGAGTGGGAAGAGAAGTGTGTCTTATATGCCCAGATGTTAGAAAAAAACATGTGAAGGCCAACAGGCCAAAAGTGAACAGGGCTCCTCATATAACCAACCATTCCCAATCAGCTCACAGGGAAGGGCAGAAAAGAATTTTAATACAGCCCAACAGTATATGCTAGTCATTCAACTGAATCAAACCTGAGCAAGTTAGCTTATTCATTTCCATATTTCATACTTGAAGTGTGGACTAATTCAAATAAACACCCATCATCTTAAAAATGGGAAAATTTATTGTGAAATCACTTGGCTCTGCCAATAGCAAGATCCATGGAATCCTATATTGCATAGTAGGGATTCTTCATCCTGAAGGAGCTGAAATTAACTGGTAGGACAGGGTGGACTTGTCCTCTGATGGAGACGTTTAGGAAGCATTTTAAAGTGCATGTTCTTGCTATAAAATGCTGGTGATGTTTCTCATATAGGTGGTTTCAGGTGAGGCAGATCTGCATTTTACTTGGTTTAATTGACTCCATCTAACTGTTTTGTTTCATAGCAAGTAATCAAATTTCATCACTCACAGGCTAAAATATCTTTTCCCTTCTCAATTCCCCAAAGGAAGAAAGCTCTTGGTCAGCTGCATAACTGTCTGTTCAGTTGTTTCACCATTAATAATAGTGAAAACACTAAATGTAAATAACTAAACATTATACTTGTTACTAAGTAGCATAGGGATTGTATTGGACTTTACCAACCCCTATGACTAACAAAGTCTTATTTGTGAGAGACAAACTGACAAAAAAAACACTCACCCAGCACAAATGGTTAAGCGTTAAACCCTTAATTATGTTTCTTAGCAAAATGGTGGCTAATGGAAGCCATATGTGCTAGAATAGTGGCCACCTCCCAGATTCCTACAGCCTTTGCAAGCCCAGGAGGAGGATGCCTTAGAACAGTTAAGCAGTAGCCAAGTCTCGATTGCCAGTCTAAGAAGCTTTCCCTTTATATTTAGAAAAACCTTACTGAGAAGTATAACCATCCTGTCTCATAGGGTACTTTGTTTCTGTTCCTACTGATAGATCATTCTGAAAAAGTTGATTTAGGTGCTCTTAAAATGGGTTTTGAAGTCTCCAAGTTCTGACTCCAGACTCCAAACCATAGGAGGCAAAGATATCCAAGGTGCCAAGGTAATTCCATTATGCAAAACAATTTCCTTTCTTAAAAGACATGCACACAAATAGGAAACTGTTCAAAACAATACATGGTGGCGGGGGTGGGCTTTACAGTTTAGTGGGATGACATAATGGTACAGAGGAAATGGACTTTGCAATTACATTTCTCTAAATGGCCTGAACTTGGTGTCACTGCTGACATCATCTGGAATGGTTACAAGGCCCCAAAGGACTGCTCCAAGGACTAAATGGCTGATCCTCTGTCTCAAACCAGATACTGTCTTAGCCTGAGGTCCTTCATGGGTGCCACTGCTGAGGGCTGATAGCTGGAGGGAGGGAGCTCCATCCTCAAGTAGTTCTTAGGCTCCTTTTGAATTAGCCTTGCTGTTCTGGGATGTCTTGTGTGATTTGGCCTGGAGTGTCTAGGTAGAAAACACAGGCAATGGTTGTAATTAGATGTGTAAGTTCTATAGGAGTCCCTTTTTTCTTTTCCTAAAATAATGACAGACTTGTTTTCCTAAAGTCAAATGAGGGTTTATAATTTACTTTGGTAATAAAAATGAAGAAGACAGGCAAACAAGGCCCCCAAGTACCTTGGGGATCACTTTCTCAATGTCATATTCACAGGTATCCTATGAGCAGCTTTGGTCCTCAAGGCCACTTCACAATTTAACTCTCTCATGACTTCCCTTACTGTTTATTTATATCATGCTTTCTGCACTTGCCCCAAATTCTTTCACTCAAATGGGAAGAGTGATTAGATAAGTAATTTTTTATTTACAGGCATTTCTCCTAAAATTTTAATTGCTTTCCTACTAGTGTTTCCTAACATCAGAAGCCTATGTAAAACACATAACATACAGAAAACTATTTCTATCTGGTTCATAAAAAATAAGGATCCGCCTATTTTGTAATTAGCTTCTAGACTTAACATGTTTATGTCTGGTCCACCATTGCATTGGTTTGTAATTTTTTTCACTTTTGGATAATTGAGGTAAAAAAAATACATATAGTACTATTATATAGATGACTAAAGTTCGGCCTACAACTTCCTGTTTGGATGACAGGAAGAATTGTGCAGTGTTTTGCAATGGTCATAATTATAGATTCTCACTACCCTTAGAGATAACTAAAGGGAAAGGTTTTTTGTTTGCTTATTTTGTTTCTTGTTAGATACTTACAGCTTCTTTAGAAGAAGTAATGGGTAATGAAATAGGTGTTGATAATGTTATGGGTGATGATGGTATTAATGGCAGTTGTGTAAATTCTTCATCCTTAAACATCAGAATTGAGAGTTGGATTACTGATTTAAAACAAAAGTAATGGTTACAATTAAGGATTATAATATTAAAACTAAAAATGCCATTATAATATAAATTAAACATTCATCAGAAAGATGGAAAGTGGTATCTTCTATCTAGCTTTTCAAATGTAGCAATAAACTCTGGAGCAGAAAAAATTATAGAAAAGAAAAGGAAATTTTAATTTAAAAAAAAAAAGTGGGCTGGGGTTGTGGCTCAGCGGTAGAGCGCTCACCTAGCATGTAAGAGGCCCTGAGTTCAATCCTCAGCACCACATAAAAATAAATAAATAAAATAAAGGTGTTGTGTCCAACACAACTAAAAAATAAATATTTTTTAAAATGTATAGTGGATCTACTCTCATGACTACCAAGAACAACTACTTCATATTCAGAAATAACTATTTCATATTCTCTCTTTTTTTTTTGGCAGCCCTGGGGATCGAACCCAGGGTCTTACTCGTGCTAAACAAGCATTCTACCACTGAGCTACATCCCCAGCCCATAACTGTTTCATATTCTGGTATAGAATTCAAAAGGCAAAATCTGGAGTCCAATTACATATAACCAAATGTTGAACTTTTTTTTTTGTCAGTGCTGGAGATCAAACCCAGGGCCTTGCACATTCTAGGCAAGCGCTCAACTACTGAGCTACACCCCCAGCCCCAGATGTTAAACTTTCTTAGAAACAGATCAAACAGTACAATAAATATTCCTTAATAAGGAAATAAATTCAGTTTCATTAAGAGGATTAAAAATAGAGAAAATTAATGTAGCACTTTTTTATACTTTTAACTTAATCAAGTGAGAAGTAATTGTCTAACCTTAGTTCCCTTCGATTGAGGTGCAGAATCTACTGTGTCCTCTTTGGAGTCAGGGGAAGTAGTAGGTGATTCCACAGGATTGTCTGTCTTTGGAACCTAAGGAAAATAATATTTTACATAAGCATTAGTTTTCTGCTCTTCCTGAAACTCCAGTTCTTTTTACAGTAGTCAGTGCCTTTTAGCACAATTTGCTTTTCATTAAAATCCCTAACTTCCTCCTCAGACTACACCCTTATGAGTAATATATGAAATATGCCCCTGAAATAGCAACTTAGTATTACTATTTCTTTTTGAGTTTTGAGCTCTCTATATACAAATGTTACACTCTAATTAAATTCTAGTATTTGAAATCCTCAGTTATTAACAAGCCAGTGACTTGCCAATATTGGTGCTGTTCTCAGTCTCAAAAAGAAGTTGCCATTTCTCAATTACTCATCAGTTTCTAATAGCCAAAATTGACATCTATTGGTTTTAGTATCATAGTAAATGGTAAATTTGCCTGACTAAAATATAGGTATTCCTTAGTAAAAGCTCCTAAAATGCTAGGGGTCTAGCTCAGTGGTTAAAGTATATGCTTAGCATGGTCTAGGCCCTGGGTGACAAGCAAAATGAGAAGAGGTAATAACAATAGATAATAGGTTAGATTAAGGAGCAATGATAAAATAGGTAGCTAACCTATCATTAAAAATTATGTTAATTATTGGCTGGGGATGTGGCTCAAGCGGTAGCACACTTGCCTGGCATGTGTGGGGTGCTGGGTTCGATCCTCAACACCACATAAAAATAAAGATGTTGTGTCCACCTGGGACTAAAAAATAAATATTAAAAAAATTATATTAATTAGATTTAAAAAAACAAATGTCACTGTAATTTTTGGAAATAACCTCTTTTGTGTCCTTTGGAGGAAAGGGAGCTACCTCAATTCAAAGTCATAGAATCATACATTTTTTTTTTCTTTCTTTCTTTTTTTTTTTTTTAGTTGTCAATGGACCTTTATTTTATTTATTTATATGTAGTGCTGAGGCACCCAGTGCCTCACACATGCTAGGCAAGCACTCTACCACTGGGCCATAACTCCAGCCCTGATAGTATATAAGTTATTTATGGAGCCTAGTATGCTACTTATTTTCATTTTATAAAAAGAATAGAAGTTTAAAAACATGAATGAAAAGAACAACCAATAAAATTCCAAGGAGCTTGTCACTTTTTCCATAATTCCTTTCTTACTCCAGAAAGTAACATCTTGATAAAAAGAGTTTATACCCATGTAGAATAATTTTGAGAATCCAAATTTTAGCCTGAGACATTGTGGTCCTCCAAGAAGATTCCTTTGCTCCTGAAAGTGGTCTGAGATGACAAAAAACAAAAAACCTTTGGTCTGTCTTGAATGGTTCCACCAGGAGTTTGATCCTGAACTCACTAGCCTGCCTTCATGGTCTGTACAAAATTGCTCCTAACCTTCCTAGAACCCGCCCTGGACAAAGCCCCAAATCAGATACTCTGTGGTAATACATAAAGGGAAAGCAGGGTGGCATTTCCTGAAGTAGATATTTCATGCTTCAACTAATTATCCTTGTCTTGTCCTAGGGGATCAACCTCATATCTAAGATTTAAAATGACTGGACCTAGCTGGGTACAGCGGCACAGGCCTGTAAATCCCAGCAGCTTGGGAGGCTGAGGCAGGAGGATCATGAGTTCAAAGCTAGCCTCAGCAACTTAGCAAGGTCCTAGGCAACTCAGTGAGACCCTGTCTCTAAATAAAATACAAAAAGGCCAGGGATGTGACTCAGTGGTTAAGTGCCCTTGGGTTCAATCCACTGTACCAAAAAAAAAAAAAAAGGCTGGTCTTCACTTTGAGTTGTATTTCCTTTCTTGCTTATGACAGTTCTGAGTCAGACTTGAAGCCACACAGTAGTGGAAAGCCCTTTCTGATGGGCTCAGAGCAAGGTGCTCCAGTGCTTTGGCCCATCCTGAGTTGGTTTTTCGGTGAAATAACAGGAGGAATAAAGTTACTGAGTTGAAGGCAAAAATAAAATGAGTAAGGAAATGAATTATTTTCTGTGTTAGTCCCTTTTTGCTTAAAAATCAATAGAAATTTAGACAAATGAAATAGGAACCATTCAATAGAAAAAGGGAAGGCAGTGTGTGTACGGCGGGGGGGGGGGGGGGGGGGGGGGAATTTGCTAATGAAAACTAGATAAGGAGGAAAAAATTACTCCTATTCATAAAATTCTTATGTCTTTTGGATTAAAGGCAATAGGAGCCCTATGACAAGGTGGTCTTGAGTGGCCTTTTAGGGTGGGGGTTTGAGAGTGCTGGGGATTGAACCCAGAATCTCATGGATGCTAGGCAAGCACTTTACCACTGAGCTGAACCCATAGCCTACTCTGAACTTTTTTTTTTTTTTAAAGAAAATGTTAAAGCTATTTGAGCCAAATTCCAAAAGAAATCCCAGGTGTGACAGTAAGAGGAAACAAAACAGTGGTGTAGAAGCCTTGGTTATAATGGACATACAGATGATTCTCCCTAAACCCAATTACTCACTTCTCCACTTTGTGGTATTTCAATTGGCTTTGGTTTCACATCTATCAAGTAGAAGGTGCGCGATAGGAGCAGAAGGGAAGGAGGGATATTCTCCTTCAGGTGGAGGTCCAGCCACTGGACAAAGGGAATAAAACATGACAGAAACACAATGTTAAAGGTGAAGTGACCCACAGTCATCTACTGCTTCCCTGAGTTGCAACTCCCCCCACACTCACGCTGAACAAGTATAAAATCACCAGCCGGGGCTGGAGTGGTGGCTCAGTGGTAGAGTGCACGCCTAGCATGCATGAGGCACTGGGTTCGATCCTCGGCACCACATAAAATCACCAGCCAATAGACTTCTCCCCCAGTGCTAGTACCTGGTAGCACCTCCTGCCCCGTACTCACATGCCCCCCACCACACACACACACAGTAGTGGGATCACTCAGACCCAGAGACAGAGTTATCAATTAAGTTCTCAATCCAATTATGATGAAAGTATTAAGCATCTTCTCTAAAACAAAAAGTGGCATGAACCATTAACCAAAAATTAGAATGAGGGTGAGATGTAAATTTTTAGATATTAAGTAGGCCAAGCTTTAAAAACAAAAAGTTTTTCAACCATTTATACGTACACAAGAGAATTCAAAAAGTAAAACGCTTTCAATAAAAAAATGTCTAGCATGCCTGTAATCCCAGCAGCTCGGGAGGCTAAGGCAGGAGGATCATGAGTTCAAAGCCAGCCTCAGCAACTCAGTGAGACCCTGTCTCTAAATAAAATACAAAATTGGGCTGGGGATGTGGCTCCATGGTTGAGTAACCCTGAGTTCAATCCCCGGATACCTCCCCCTAACCCCCACCCAAAAAAAAAGAACAAGTCTGTTTTTTCCACCATCTTTCCATGCTGCCATCATGGTGCACATAAATGTCCTGGCTGATGCTTTCAAGAGTATCAGTGTGCTGAAAAGAAGCAAATGCCAGGTCCTATTAGGCTGTGCTCCAAAGTCATCTGGTTTCTGTGATGATGAAGCATGGTTACATTGTTGAGTTTGAAATCACTGATGATCACAGCTGGGAAAATTGTTGGGGACCTCACAGCTAGTTAAACAGCCTGTGATCAGCCCCAGATTTAATGTGCAGCTCAAAGACACAGAAAAATGGCAGAATGATCTGCTGTCATCCCAACAGTTTGGTTTCAATGCACTGACAACCTAAACTGGCATTATGGACCAGGAAGAAGCAAGTCAAAAACACAGGAGGGAAAATCCTGGGATTCTTTTTTAGGGTGTAAAACACAAAATTCCTTAATGGAAAAAAGTCTTCCACCCCTATTCTCAAGGCACCTTCTTCCCTAGAAGGAATCTTTGGTACCAGGTGTGTGTGTGTGTGTGTGTGTGTGTATAAATAAATTTTTTTGTAGTAGGGATTGAACCCAGAAGTGATTAACCACTGATCCATAATTCCCCAGCCCTTTTTTTAAAAAAATATCATCTTTATTTTATTTATTTATTTTTATGTGGTACTGAGATTCGAACCCAGGGCCTCACACATGCTAGGCAAGCACTCTACCGCTGAGCCACAGCCAAATCTTTATTTTTATGTGGTGCTGAGAATCGAACCCAGTGCCTCATGCATGCTAGGTGAGCGTGCTACAACTTGAGCCACGTCCCCAGCCCTCCCAGCCCTTTTTATTTATTTACTTATTTATTTTTATTTTGAGACAGGGTCTACCAAAGTTGCTTAGGGCCTCATCAAGTTGCTGAGGCTGGCCTCAAACCTGCAATCCTCCTATCAGCCTCTCAAGTTGCCAAGATAACAGGTGTGCACCATCATGCCTGGCTGATTTATGTTTTTAATTTTTTACACAAAGGGTAATATGCACACAATTTTGTCCTTTGCTTTTTTTCCATTGAGATATTTTGGCAATTGATTCATGTCAGTAGATGTAGTACTGACTCTCTAAACACTAGTAAAAAAATCTCATTATATGGAAATTTCATAGTTTATTTGATTCTCTTATCAATGATCTTCAGGTTGTTCCCAATTGTTTGCTATTATAAATTGTACCTCTGCACTGGATAATCTTATACATATTTCATTTGGCACATGTCCAAGAATATGGGATAAATTCCTAGAAGTAAAAGTGATGAGTTGAAGAGTATATGCATTTTAAAAGTTTGAAAGATGATGCCAAATTACTCTACATGGAGATTTTTACCAGCAATGCAAGAATGGCCCTTCATCCAAGCTCTTAACAACACAGTATGATTACAACCTCTGATCTTTGTCAATATAATAGTGAATGTGGCATCTTTTAGTTTTAATTTATCATATGAGTAAGGTTAAGATTGTTAAGTTTACCATTTTTAAATTTTCTTTTTTATGAATTAGACAACACAGGATTATCCTTAATGGAATTCTTTAAGTAATATGTAATGCTAAATATGATCAATGATTATATTAATATCTTTGTTCCCTTGCTGGAGATTATAAAATTATATACCCTTTTAAGAGGGCAATTTGACAGTATAATAATCAATGACATTTAATACTCCATGTTTAAGAAATTCATGATCTCAAGTATTTCTATAATATATTCATCTTCCAACCATAGTTGGTCTACATGTAAGAGGAAATAGCTACCTATTGTACTTTTTTAAATTATAAAAATGAGAATTTTAACAGGAGTTATTCCTTTGTTTTAAAGCATTGATATTTTTACTAAATCACTATCTGAAGGATAATATTAAGCATCTATTAGCAAAGCAAACGCTGAATTGGTTTGGAGAATTAATTGGGCACTACTAGGTGAGGTCCAGACATCTAGACAGGTTTACATCCATAAAGCGACTTGAATGAGAATTTGTGCCCAGACCCTTACAGTCTCTGAAGTAGACAAAATTCTAAGGTGGCCTCAAGGTTCCCTGGTATACCCACACTTTCTCGAAGGTACTCAAACACTCTTCTGGGTGTTATGTGAAGGGATTTGAGAATAAGGCCCCAAGTCAGCTGACCTTGAGATAAAGAACTTTTCCAGTGAGGCCTCACCTAATCACATAAACCCTTAAAATCTGGGGCTAGAGGTCAAAAGTGAGAAGTTTGATATTTGAAGTGTGAGGGGGATCTGTCATATAAGAAGTCCACTGCTAGCTCTGCAGATAGAGGCCAAGAGGTATGGCATAGAGGTAGCTCTTAGAGCTGACAACAGTTCAAGGCTGGCAGCCATTGAGGAAACAAGGACTTCAGCCCTACAGCTACAGGGAGAGGGTTTCAGTCACTGAACTGAATGATCTTGGCAATGGACTCTTCCCCGTAGCCTTCAGAAAAGAACACAGCCTACATCTCTAACCTATAAACTGTGAACTAAGTTTCTATAACTGTAATTTGTAGTACAGTTATAGAAAACTAATATAATGTCCCATCCCAATCCAAGTGCAAAATAAATCTAGCTTCTTCGGTATCCTGCTACTCAATGATATGAGGCAAAATATGTAAAATGGTTCACTTGTGCTATGGTTTAATCTTAAATGTCCCCCAAAAGCCCATGTGCTAAAGGCTTTGAGATGGTAGAACAATTAATTATCTTGGGCTGGAGATATAGTTCAATTGGTAGAGTGCTTGTCTTGCATGCACAAGGCCCTGGGTTCAATCCCCAATACTGGGAAAAAAAAAAAAACTCCTATATTTTGTCACAGCAATGAAAAGCTGACTAAAATAGCTTGCAAAGTAAATATCACAAGATGAGATCTGCAAATCATAGGGGAGATTTGCTCCAGAGAAGAGGGTCTGAGGGTGCTGCTGCTTGCCTCTGTGAGCTGTTGTTGAAGTTGTTCCTCAGTAAGACCCAGTGATCTCATCCCTCGGGCCCTACAAGCAGATTGTAGTTCTGACACACTCAAAGTCTTCACCCCTTCTTTGGCAATTATCTGCAAGAAATGTTAAGGAACAGTGTTATATCTTCGTGTTCCAATTTTATCTAATCCCCTAGATTCCAGCAAATCAGTAGAAATCCAGAATTTAATAAGTTGATCCTTTGTCCCCTACATTGATTGCTGCAAAGACCAGAACCCTAAAAAAAAAAAAAATCAAAGTGACTTAGAAAGGTGGTAGTTTAGATGAAGGAAATCCTGCTAACAGGTATTAATAACAGAGACCTTACTTTTTCTTTGTTTTGTTTTTCTTACTGGGGATTGAACCCATAGGCACTTAACTAGTGAGCCACATTCCCAATCACCACCATCCCCCCCCTTTTTTTTTGAGACAGTGTTGATAAGTTGTTTAGGACCTTGCTAAGTTGCTGAGGCAGGTCACTAACTTGCAGTCTTCCTACCTCAGCCTCCTGAATTGCTGGGCTTATAGGCATGTGCCACCATGTAATAATAGAGATATTTCTATAACTCCTTCCCAACATTTTATCAACAAATGCATTTTGCATTGTCTGGTTGTAACATCTCCTTTCCCCTTTCATAGCATCTTTAGGGTTCATTAGAAAAAATGTTGTACTTGAAAAGCTTTCATGGTAACATCTGTTGCATGTCCCAGGATTATTTTTCCTCCACTGTCCCCTAACACCACTGTGGGAATGGCTCTAACTGATCCACAAAACTGCCTCAATAAATAACAGTTTCTGCTTGATATAATCCCAAACTATGGTACCTCTGGTACCAGTATTGCTTATTCCAAAGTTCTGAAAGCATATGTAAAATCAAAATGAGACCAGTGGAAACCAGGTGTGTTGGCACATGCCTGTAATCGCAGTGGCTCAGGAGGCTGAGACAGGAGGATCATCAGTTCAAAGCCAGCCTCAGCAATGGGTGAGGACTAAGCAACTCAGTAAGACCCTGTCTCTAAATAAAAAGTATAAAATAGGGCTGGAGATGTGGCTCAGTGATTGTGTGCCCCTGAGTTCAATCCCTAGTTCAAAAAAAAAAGGCCAATAGGATCATGTTTTGCTTTCACGGTTCTGGGAAGCCTGCTCCCACAGGTAGAATACTTTATAACAGCTGGTTTAGATTCAAGAAACACTCTTTCCATTTTTTTTTTAAGGCATCTAATTAGTAGTTATATTCTAAATGGTGCTTTCTGTAAGATGTCTAGGCTGTGCTTCTCCTTCCAGCATTATGCTTTACCACCCGCTTCTAACCAGCCCAACTCACTCAGCAGAATATTTACTTTGGCACCAGCTCCTCAGTAGGGGAGCAGAGGTGTGCAGGGTAAAGCCTTGCCAGGAATCTACTGAGCTGCTATTTCCTTCCCAGCAGGTCCTAACTGCTTTAGATTAATCTCAGCTAAGACATCCAAATTACTGACTGCTTATGATGGCATTTTTAAGAAAATGGGTCCCAGTATAACAAACAATTTCTAAAATGATTGTTTAAACCACTCATTTTGCCAGCATCAATCCATGAGCAGACCCAACAGAAAATACTGCACTTCATCACAAAGGCATACTAAGATGCCTCCCAATGCTTCTCAAATCCCCTTCAGCTATGGTTAAGCTCTTACTTTATCGTCTGCTTTTATAGACTTCAATGTCATCAGGAGCTGAAAGCGGAGCAAACTGTTGGTTCCAAAGGTCTGCAATTCTAGCAGTTTACAAAGGGCAACAAGCTGAGGTCGATCTAAGTGCTCCAGGGGTAGCTGATCCTCAAAGAATTTGGAAAAGCGAACTATCTCCTTTGTGCTGGGTTTGTGGCCTGTCTGGACCTAGGCAATGAAACAAAGAGGCTAATTAAAATGTATTTCCTACTAAATGTAACTTTCCCAATAGACCTTTGTGGGGGTGGGTATAAGGACTGAACTCAGGGGCACTCAGCCACTAAGCCACATCCCCATCCCTATTTTGTATTTTATTTAGAGACAGGGTCTCACTGAGTTGCTTAGTGCCTACTAAATTGCTGAGGCTGGCTTTGAATTCTCTATCCTCCTGCCCCAGCCTTCTGAGCTCCTGGGATTACAGGCATGTGCTACCACGCCCAGCCCAGTAGACTTTTGAAATAGACAACAAAGCATTTATGAACATTATTTTCTTTCTTTTTTTTTAAATTTTATTTTTGTAGTTGTAGATGGACAGAATGCCTTTATTTTATTTGTTTATTTTTATGTGGTGCTAAGGATGGAATCCAGTGCCTCACACATGCTAGGCAAACACTCTGCCACTGAGCTACAGCCCCAGCCCATGAACTTTGTTTTCTGTCTGGAACTGGAACTGGAATCACCTGAAAAATAAAGAGAATTGTTCTGTTCTTTCCAAGAAGTTACTATCAACACATTGATTACTTAAGCTTTCCTGCAAACTACTCTGTTTATGTTATATGATTACAATTAGTGTATTTTATAACATACATATTAGCAATTTCAAAGATTTGAACAATTTGGAAGATCTATGATGACATGCATTTTTCATATAACTCCAGCTCAGAAGTTGTTTGGTATGATATAAAAGACTAACACCTGTTTTACATAGGATGATAGCTGTGTAGAGGCATCTCCCATATTGGCTCTGTTCCTCCTTGCCATTTCTGTAATTGTTTCTTGAAGGAATTTTGCTACTTCCAGTTTTGCAGCCATTTTCTTTTTCTGTTTTTCTTCCTGAATAGTAGAAGAGGAAAAAGTTAATCTTTCATGACTACAACTTGGCAAAGATGGAAGAAATAACTATCACTTTGTTATTGCATATCCCTATAACATGTAGTGTAATAATATTATTTGCAGGCCTAATTGGGATTTGTGAGAACCAGGGCAAATATAAAATAGCTTGTATTTGAAACTTGTTTCCTTAATCTTGCCTTCCTTCCTTCCTTCCTTACTTCTGTACCGGGAATTGAACTCAGGGACACTCGACCACTGAGACACATCCCCAACCCTATTTTGTATTTTATTTTTAGAGACGGGTCTCACTGAGTTGCTTAACACCTCGCCATCGTTGAGGATCCTTCTGCCTCAGCCTCCCAAGCCGCTGGGATTACATGTGTGTGCCACTGCGCCCAGTTTACATTTATTTCTCATTAATGAAATGTTCATTAGCATTTAAAAGATCCCAAATGTCCCCTCAGTGGAAGGCTTTATCGTTATTTAGAAAGAGATACTATTTCTTAACCAACTAGGTTGCTACTTGAGCCAACTCCTGATCTGAATAGACCCAGATTTTGCTCTACAAAGACAAGGAAATCAATTCTACACTGAAGTAGCTTAGAGTCTAAATGGAAAATAGATTTAGTTAATTATAATACAGAGAGTTAAGTGGTATAGTACATATGAAGAAAAGAACTACACAAAGAGGAATAAAATGTACAATCTCAAGACAGTAGTTACCAGTATTTCTTAATCCCTGTTTTTCATAAAAAATCCATGTGGTAGCATTTTCAGTCTAACCATGGTTAGTGTGTTTGTGGGTGGAGAGAAATAGAAAAAAATATATCTATATCTAGCTATATCTATATTACATACATAGATGATTACATATGTAGATTATATAATTAGAATTTCCTGAGCAACTTAAAAACACACACATAAATACATACATATAATAAACATACATATGTATATACAGTTTATATATAATATGTAAATATGTATTATGTTTTTATATATGTATGTACATATAAAAATGTTTTTTAAGTCACCTCTGATATTCTAATGATCATCCAATTAGAGGAATCATTGATTTTTAGATCTTAAAAGACTCAGCCAAAATGAAAATACACAATAGCAATAACATGGTGGTTAGAATCTGTTTGGTCAATCACTCACATCCTTCCATCTATCCATTTATTTATTTATTTATTTGGTACCAGGGATTGAACTCAGGGGTACTTAACCACTGAGCTATATCTCCAGCACTTTTTTATATTGTATTTTGAGAGAGGGTCTTACTGAGTTGCTTAGGGCCTCTGTAAATTGCTGAGGTTGGCTTTGAACTCTCTATCCTCCTGCGTTAGCCTCCCAAATTGCTCGGATTATAGGCATGCACCACGACACCATTTATTTATTGAGCATGTACCATGTACTAGGTGCTCTAGATTAAAACTAGCAAAAAAGAGATATGAGTTACTGTCCTCTTGGAACTTCTAGTGAGATGGACAAACATTAGTGACTAATGATGATCCAGTACTTCCACAAATTAACAGAAAAATAGAATGAATAAGTACTATGAAAGAGAAATGTATGGTTCTTATTTATTTATTATTATTTTTGTGTCTGGTACTAGGGATTGAACTCAAATTTGCTCTACCACTGAGCTACATCTTCAGACCCCCTGCCTTTTGTTGTTGTTGTTGTTGTTGTTGTTTTTAACTTTGAGACAGGGTCTCTCCAAATTGCTGAGGCTAGTCCTAAAACTGCAATACTCCTGCCTCAACCTCCAGAGCACTGAGATTACAGGGTTGCACCAGTGCCAGACTAGAGAAATGCATGAGGAGCACAGAAAGCTCCTCCAACTCCCTCTCTGGAACACCACAAGTGTGTGTGTGTGTGTGTGTGTGTGTGTGTGTATGTGTATGTTTGGGGAAGGTATAGTGTTCAAAGGAGAGGTAATATTTAGATAAATCCCTTTCCCGGATTCCCCCCATCTTCCTATATCCACTAATACTTTCCTTGGAATGTTGTGGCATTAATTCTAAATAATGGTGTTCTCGTTCTCTCTCTCTCTCTCTCTCTCTCTCTCTCTCTCTCTCTCTCTCTTCCAGTACTGGGGATGGAGCCCAGGGGTGCTCTACCACTGACCTACACCCTCAGCCTTTCTATTATTTATTTATTTATTTGAGGCAGGATCTCACTAAATTGCTAAGGCTGGCCTGTAACTTGTGATCCTCCTGCCTCAGCCTCTAGATCCTGCTTGGATTGTGCTATTCTTTCTATCCAGAATATCCTTTGCAAACTGTGGTAAAATTTCACTCTTTTTTTTAAGTCTCAGTTCTAAAGTTACCTCTTCTGTGAAATATTTCCCAGTATTACTGATTTAAAAGTTGCCCACTTTGTCCTCTAGTAGTTTTGTTCATACCTTCATACCACTGTCTAGTAGTCACACAGAAGGGGAAAAGTGAAGGAATTGTGTCTGTTTTCTCATCCCTCCCCTAGATTTTTTTTTGTTTTTTGATTGAACCTGGATTGAACCCAGGGCCTTGTGCATGCAAGGCAAGCACTCTACCAACTGCGCCATATCCCCAGCCCTCATCCATCCCCTTGACAGCAACATCAGACACCTTCTTCTCAAGGACTTCTCAGCACTAAAGGGTCTGTGTGGCTGAATAAATTCTACCTACTATTCAATTAGTCACCACAGTGGGCTTTTGTTATCTTTTTATTTTTTCTAATTAAAATTCAGTGGGAAGGGATAATCTTTTAAAATAAATGGTACTAGAAAAACTGGATATCCACATGCAAAAAAAAAAAAAAAATCTAGACACTGACATCACACCTTTCATAAAAATTAACTCTGAATGGATCATACACCTAAATGTAAAATGCAAAGCTATGAAACTCCTAGGGAAAAAAAAACAGGCGAAAAATCTACGTGACCTTGGGTTTGGTAATGAGTTTTTAGCTGCAATAGCAAAAGAATGATCCTTGAAAGAAAAATTGATTAGATGGGCTTCATTAAGAGTGTTTGGAGGCCGGGGTTGTAGCTCAGTGGTAGAGTGCTTGCCTAGCATGCATGAGGCACTGGGTTTGATCCCTGGCACCACATTAAAAATAAATAAATAAAATAAAGGTATTGTGTCTGTCTACAACTAAAAAATATTTAAGAGTGTTTGCTTTGTGGCAGACACTGGTCAGGAATGAAAGGAGACTAGGAGAAAATATTTGCAAAATGTTTGTCTAATGAAGGACTTTTTTCCAAAATATACAAAGACTCAAAACCACAATAAGAAACAAACCACCCAATTAAAAAAGTAGACAAAAGATCTGAATAGACACCTCCTCAAAGAAGATACACAGGTAGCAAATAGTTACATGAAAATATGCTCAACCTCATATATCACGAGAGAACTGCAAATTAAAGCAACAATGAAATACCAGTACAAACTACTATAATGACTAATAGCTAAAGCATGGACAACATCAAATGTGGGGAAAGATGTACAATAACAGAACTCTCATTCATTCCTGGTAGCAATGCAAAATGGTACAGCTACTTTGGAAGACAGTTCAGTAATTTCATGTAAAACTAAACAGTATTCCCATTTGATCCAGCTAGGTAAATACTCTCCTAAGTATTTATCCAAATGAACTGAAAACTTTCATCCACATGAAAGCCTGAATACAATTATAGCAATTTTACTCATAATAGCCCCAAATCGGAATCAACCAATTTTCAAAAGGTAAATGGATAAACTGTGGTATATCCATACACTGGATAAGACCTGGAAGAATTTTAAATGCATACTGCCACAGCTCAACTTAAGCTTCATCTTAAATATCCCTTTGCTTATCATGGTCAAAGTTCTGCGTTTGATCCCCAGTACCACCATACACTCCCAGCCAATCCTAAAGTAGAAACACTACCTACTAGTGAGAAGCAGTCTCCTTCCCCAATCCCACCTCACAGCACTAGGGATCCAACCCAGGACACTGAACATGCTACATCTCAACCACTGAGCTACATCTCCAATTCCCAAGAGAACCAGGCTTTCTTACTGAGTTTTTCTTTTCCTTTTTAGTACAGGGACTGGAACCCAGGGGCACTCTATCACTGAGCTATACCTCCAGCCTTCATTTTTAAATTTTGAAATAGGGTTTCAATAAGTTGCCAAGGCTGGCCTCCAACTTGTGATCCTCCTGCCTCAGCCTGCTGAGTTGCTGGGATTACAGGCATTAGCCACCACTGGCTCTTCCTGAGTTTCTTATTTGTCTGCAACTGATTTATTGTATAATTTTAGGCAATATTCTTAAAATTTTAATACATTTACCTATAGTTATAACTATTTTTCAGAAGCCAGCCTAAAAAAGGCTATAGACTGTATGATTCCAAGTATATGACATTCTGGAAAAGGTAAAACTATAAGGATAGTAAAAGGATCAGTGGTTGCCATGGATTGGGGGGAGGAGCAAACAAGGAACAAATAGATGGAGCACAAGGGATATTTAGAGCAGTAAAACTATTCTGTGTGATGATATGAAGATAGATAGATGACATTATGCATTTACAAACTCCAAAAATGGTACACCACAAAAAGTGAAACCAAATGTCAAGTCTGAGATTTAATTAATGAATGTATCAATATGGTTTCCTTAGTTGTAACAAATGCACCACACTAGTGTAATATGGGGGATAGAAGTATATGGACATTCTCTACTTTCTGCCCAATTTTCCTGTAAACTTAAAAACTGGTCCAACAAGTAAAGTCTAGTTTTTTAAAAGTTCAAAATTTCTACATACCTTTTTGGATTCACTTTCAAAAGTTGATGGCAACATCTCTGGGAAGAGTTTCAGAAACACTGGTATCAAGAATTCCATGAAAGGTACAATTATGAATACCATAAATGGAACCAAACGGAAGAAATCGGCACAAGTTCTCAATAGCTAAAGAATTAAATGCAGAAGCAATATTTCATTATTTTATGATATGCCAAGAAAAAAAAGCCTGCCTTGGTTCTTAAACTGTTAAGAGTCAAGATAGGTTTTCTGCACCTGTTCATAAAATAGAAAGGTGGGGTTTTTCTCTTCACCATTTTTTGGTGGTACTGGGGATTAAAAACCCAGGGGTACTCTATCCATGAACTATATCCTCTGTCCTTTTTATTTTTTGACAAAGAGTCTTGCTAAATTGTTGGAGGCTGCCTCAAGTTTGTGATCCTCCTGCCTTAGCCTCTGGAGTCCCTGGGATTACAGGTATGTGCAACCACTCCCGGCTAACAGTACTTTGCATTTCTAATGCACATTAAACCTGAAATCTTTCAACTCCTTGGAGAAATTTAAAAACATAACTATTCTATACACAGATATAAAAAACAATAAAGAATACTGCTTAAAGCTGTACAGCAAGTCAGCTGTAGACAAATAAGAAACTCAGTAAAAACTGGTTCTTTTGGGAATTGGGAATGAACCTCAGGGTAGAGCATTTACTTAGTACAAGGTCCTGGGTTGGATCTCCAGTACTGTGAGAAGAAACTCATTTTCACCAGTAGTTAACTATTCCTACTTTAGGATTTGAGATGGAGGGTGTTGGGGATCAAACCCAGAGCCTTGAACATGCAAGGCAAGCTACTTTAGGATATTTAAGATGAAGTTTATGGGCTGGGGATATGGCTCAGTGGTAGACTGCTTGCCTGGAAAGCATGAGGCCCTGGGTTCAATCCCCAGTTCCAAAAAAAAAAAAAAAAAAAAAAAGATGAAGTTTGAGTTTAAAACTTGGTTCCCAAAAGGTTCATTTTAATTTCACATCTTCTTGCTGGAATACGATTTTTGCCTACCCGTCGTCTCTCTCGTCTGGTCAGCACCTGTCCATGAAGCAGCCTCCAAGCCATTTTGGCAGCAATTTTGGTGTCAATCCAAAGTAAGTAGAATCCGTTGTAATAATATTTAAGTTCATCCATAATTTTTTGTCTGAGAGATCGCTTTCCTTCTTTAATATTTATCCCAATTTCTTCTGTGGTCTGAGGGCTTATCACCTTTGCCTTTTCTGGGGTTTGCTCCAGCTGAGGTTTACCAGGGTTCTGTTGTAGCCAACAAGCTGATGTGTGTAACTTTTGTATTGGCCTAGTTCGTAAATGAAGTATTTTATTGCCTGACTGACTGGGATAACAGTACTTCTTGCTTCTATAGTTCTTCATATATGTCTTATTTAAATGAGAATCTGGCAAGTGAAGAAATGCAAGTGATGGGGAATAAGAGCAGATAGGATGGACAAAATGGCTAGGGAATCTGGAATAAAGAGTAACATTTCTGAGTTGAGCACATACTATTACAAACTTAAATAGATATTTTATCTAGTTAAAACTAAACTTTTTTAAGCTCATAGACAGCTCCTATTTATTAGCGAATGAAATATTTTTTGTTGTGGTGGTGATGGTAGGGATATAACCTAGGGCCTCACATATACTAAGCATATACTAGACCACTGAGCTATACCACCAACCCCAAATATAATTTTTTGCCTCAACTAATAAATAGTATGTTCTATGGTTGAATATGCTCTATGAGAAATATTAATAAGTTAATTTCTAAGAATAAATTGCTTAGAAGTTAGAAGTCCTACAACCATTAACTTTAAAATCTACTAGCACACATCTACATGTCCGGGATTATGTTCAATAGTATTGTCTCTATGGACTACAATATTGTATCTGTAACCACTCTACTGACAATAGGAATGTTTTAATGAAACTTTCCATGGTCCTTGTGGGGGTTAACCAATCAAATAATACTACTTTGTCTATGTAATGTTTATGGACTCCTTTAAATGAGAGGCACTTACAACAGAAATGCCCTTTCATCTAAAATTTCTCAAGAACATTAGAAATTAAAATTAGAATTGGAGTCAAGGAACTCTATATTCTATCACAACAGCTTATAGCCTTCAGTTAAATAAGACTGTAAGATAGATCCTTTTTTCTATTCTTTCATTCTTTTTTAAATTTTCTTTTTAAAGGCAGTCTCTTTCTTTGTTGCCTACATCATCTGCCCATCCTGGCCCTGCACTTGAGATTCTCCTGCCTCAGGCTCCTAAGTAGCTAAGATTACAGGCTCAGGACATAAAGCTTATTTCTTTTTTACCCCAGTGCTGGGAATGGAACCCACAGTCTCATGCATGCCAGTCATGACTACACCCCCAGCCCTCCAGACTATTTTTGAAGTATCCCAAAATAAAAATATTCTTTGGATAACCAAAAGGGAAAATTTACAATGTGATAACACACCCTAATGAAACAGGAATTTGCCATAGAAGGGACTTGTTCATTAGTCATTTTACTCCTTTTTACATCAAAAGGCCTCATCAATTATAGAGGTGTCACTCTATAATTTTATGTGTGATTATATGTGGTACTGGGAATTAAACCCAGGGCCACTCTACCAATAAGCATATCTCCAGCCCTTTTTAATATTTATTTTGAGACAGGGTTTACCTAAATTGCTGAAACTGGCCTCAAACTTGCAATCTTCCTGCTTCAGGCCCTAGTTGCTGGGATTACAGGCCAGTATATCACTGCATCTGACTATATCTTCTACCTTACTTGTACCAGACCTCAACAAAACTACTCAGCCCAAGTTCTAAAGCATATAGAAGATGTTAGTAAGTTTACATTAAAATGTCAGCTTCCTAAGAACCAGCATAATCAAAAACCAACAAGGTTTTAATTGTGCACTAAGCCAATCCTTTTACACATATCCTTTCCATCCAGAAGAATGAGGTTCATATACTTTTGGGGGTTGGGAAAATTCTAATGCTTACCTTGTACGGACAATAGCTAAGACTGAATTACAACTGTTGAATGCCATATTTATTTTTCTCTGAACAATTTTAACAAAGAGACCTAGACAAAAGAAGTAAACAATTTGGTATTTTAAAAAGACATCAATTAAACAATGAGTTTCTAGCTATTGCAAGGGCAGAAAATTTGCATATTCAAAGTACAAAACCTCCTTCAAGTTCATTCCTAACAATTATTTTCTTAGCTCTGGATTTGAGTATGGAACTTTCAGATCCCAAAACACAGAAATGATCTCTAAGATAATGCTTAATGAAGAAGATATGACCGTCAGACACATTTTTATAATCTTCCTTGGATGGTGGGCAGGTATTTAAGAAGATAAGACAAGCATACCTATTTGTAGACTAAAATACAAGTAGAAAGCAGATACCCTGGATTTGTTTTCTTCTCCCCACCTTTTTCCTGCCCCCCCCCCCCCCGATTTGTTTTCTGTTAGCTTTTTCCATATTTGGCCAAGCTACCCCAAACCCTATAGCTTGAAAGTATTCACTAATCTCTTTTATGTAGGAGTAAAGATATGCATGGTGCCTATATTCAAGTGCAGGTAAAACGGCGCTAGCGATTTTCCACAGCCCAAACTGAGCCTTCCTCCATCCAGCGGCGCTTTTCAGCTAGGGGCAGCAAGGAGCTGTAAGAACCCTTAATATCTCACACTATCTACTTCGCTTTCCTGCAACTGGGTTTTAAGGAGCATCAGGGTCTTTCCTGGATGGAAATCTTAACCACAGAGCTAGGATTTTGAACAGGGCTCAGCGTCTCTGGACCCAGCCCAATGGTGGATGGTGTTTTGCTGGAGCGAGACAAGACCTGCTGGGGCAAATCCCGTCTCCCGCCCGGCACTCCTGCGCTGGGCTGTGGACAACCACTTCCCAGGCTGGCGGACCCGGGCGCAGACAGACCGACCGGCACGCCAGGCTTTTCGCACAGCCCCCACGCCCAGGGTTCTTGGGGTTACCTCTGCCGCTGGCACATCACTACCCGGGTGCAAACGCGCCCTCGGCTTCCTCTGTCAGCGACTTTCGCGAGCGTAGTACGTGGGTGAACTGTTGTGGGGTCTCGGGATTTTTGTCTGTGTGTGTGCGGGGGTGGGCAGATACAGGAACGATAACTCCTAGTGATCCATGTGGTTGAAAATGAATACGAGGAGAAGAGGGCTCAGGACACAGAAGAGAGGCTCGGAAGCGAAGCGCGAAAGGAGTGGGAAACGGAGGTTGAGCTCCAAAGTTTGGGAGGCCAGGGAAGAGGACGAGATCCGTGGCTGAGGAGAGCGCGGTGGGAACTGGAAACCGTAGGGAAAACGGGGCGCTGATGGGAGGGGCAGGATGCACAGGGAGCGGGCTCCGGAGGGGAACACGCAGGCACTGTCCAAGTAACAGCCTGAGGCTTGGTCCGCCCACCCCTACCTCCTCGGCCGGGCTCCCGGGAACGGCCGCCCAGGTCCTCCCAGCTCCTTCCCAATTCCTCCCTTGGCCCTTCGAGCTAGAAGGGCCCGAGGCCAAGTCTCTATGACTCCACCTCTTGCCCCTCGCCCCGTGAAGTCACTCTGAGTGACGACACTATCAACCAATGAACTCTCAAATTCTGTGGAGGGCGGGCGTCCTTCACCGTGGCCACCCAGGAGGCGGCAAGGTCTCCTCACCAGCGAAATGACTTCTCTGCTGGGTTTAGTTTAAAGAGCGTCGGTCTTGGAGGATCGAACACTGGCGTTTTTCTGACTGTCTACACCCTGTAATCTGTGGCTACCCCCCTGGGAAACCCCCGAGTGAAGGTTGGATTAAAGAGGCTCTTAGCCTAGCGTAATATGTCTGATAGTCGCCATGGTAACCATCTCTGAGTCACGAATGACATCATTTTGGTGTATTCTCCCTTCGGCCCTCGCCCCCCTCTAACTCCAAAACTGCCTACGGGGACTTGAGCCGGGAAGAGGTAGTGGGTGGCAGAAGGGCTTCTCCCCCACCCCCAGGCCCAAGGTTGGAATGCTGTGAAAGCTGCACGTGGAAAACTGGATTCCACTAAAAAATCTTTGCTTTATAAATGTTCTCTTTAACAGGCGTTGCTTATAATCAGTAGTTTGTGTAGAAATCTCTATATTTAAAATGTACATTATATGGGCTGTGAAATTACGTATGCGCTGCAGGTTCAGGGGGCACTTCGGTTCCTAAAATGTGAAACTGAGCCATCTTGGAAAAGAGAACGATCTAGAAATATTCTTGTTCCCCAGTTATCTCTTCTTATCCATTTGATCTTTTAAAGGAAGAGAACAATTTTAGTGGCTTTACCCTAACACCAGACAGCAAGGAATCGCTTTCTCGAAAAGAACACCTTCTCTTCGCATGTAAACCGGCTACATACTTTACTCATCTGGGCAGCACATTTGTAAGAATGAAAGATGGCGGGTATTAAATTTCAGTAAGAAGTGCAAACCGCTTTTAATCCACAAAGCATTTTTCAGCTAATAACCAAACGATTCAACTGTTAAATAGGCAAAACTTATCAGTTTGGCCACTAGAGGTCCCCTTGTGCATATCTGATGCCTAACTTTCCACACGAAGGTTTCACTTCACGTTCTATGTTTACTAGAATTAAAATCTACAAGGCTTCCCTCCTTAACCTTTCCGTCCCTGAAAATTCACGAGGGTAAATTTTGAATTTTAAAATATAGGTATAACTTTCATATTGATTTCACAAATTAACCACTGTTTTACCATAAACACATACTTTTCTGGAAAACATTATAAAGGATCCAAAAATATTCGCCCCTGGTTCACTGGGAGACATTTTATACTAGGAAATATTCCTATTCATGTATTGTATTCACTTATAACCAGGCACAGTGAAACTCATTAAGTATTCATAAACCAGATGAACAATTCCATGCCTAGCATTTGAAAGATGAGCTAGGTTTTCTACCACCGCCGTATGTCAGCAACTCTATTCTAAAAGAGTGAAGGGTTAAAAACCCTTCTTACTGAAATCCATTTGTTCAAAGTAATGTCTGTTTTTTCCTATTATCAAGCTTGGCAATTTCTTTGACTTTCAGGATACATGATTTGATATTTAAGGAGTTTTTGAATAAAATCATCAAAAGAGAAACTAAAAAAACTTTTCCCTATAACTATGGCTCAGAGAACTGTTTCAGATTTCTGTCTTGATTAACTGTCTGCTCCTTTACTATGGAGAAGAGTAAGCATATACTAAACCTCAGAAGATGTTAGATGATGAAAATGTGAATTGTTACTTTTAGTGCTCATTTCCCTAAATATTATCTGCATTCTTAATGTTTTGCAGAGAAGACCACATGCATCTACTTCACATAATATCAAGTTTAAACTTTTATTGTCATCATAGCTATTAGAAGCTGGCTAAAATAGAATCCCTGGGGACAATTTACAAAATTCTCCTCAAGGGGAAAATCCAGGTACCCGGTCAAGATGATAGTTTATCTACAAAGCATGGAGGTTACAGGCAGATTGAAAAAGGAGGATAGAGGCAGAGAGGAACATAGGAAAAAAAAAAAAGACAAATTTAGCCCCTTACCAGGAGATAGAATCAAGTGACTAAGGTGGCTCCCTTAAGCTATCTGTTTTTAAGAGACATATTTATAATAAAAATGTGTTTTATGGATTCATTTAACTTTGATATTACACAAAGTGTAGGTTTAAAAATAGTTTAAAGTTCTGGGTTGTGGTGTTCCCTTTAGTCCCAGCTTGGGAGGCCGACGCAGGAGCTTTGCTTGAGCCCAGGAGCAGGCCAGGCTGGGCAACATAGTGAGAATCCAACTCAAAATAAATAAAATTAACAGAGATGAATAGGAATGGGAACTCTTAATGCACAATATCAGCCTTACAGGATTAACAAACTAATAGATAATTAGTGCCCATTAAAATAATTGATCTGTGCTGGAAAGCCACACCTGTAACTCCAGCAACTTAGGAAGCTGAGGCAGGAGGATTGCAGGTTTGAGGACAGTCTGAGAAATTTAGGGAGTCCCTCAGCAACTTAGGGAGAACCTGTCCCAAAACAAAAAAAAAAATAAGAAGCAGCTCAGTGGTAAGGCACCCTGTGTTCAATTTCCATTACCAAAATAATAATAACTGACGTGTAGGAATCTTCTAATTTAAAGATGATAAAGAATTTCTTGTAATGGTACCAAATAGAGCACTACAATGCCTATCAAAAGCATGACGCCTAGTAATGATATAACTTTATAGTTCCCAGAACAGACCGCGGACTTCATATTGGTTTCCTCATCTGATTGCTGCCTGTGTTTCCTTTGTACGTTCATGTTTCCGTGCTGCAACGTTCTAAGTCATTACCCAGGCTCCAGGAAATAACTACATCTGCACGCTCCTGTAAGACTCGTTTACTTTGTCACACACCTAAAAACCTTCCATTGTTTTACATATTTTCCTAGAATGGGAAGGGCAAGAGGTTTACGGAGCATTACCGCCCTGTCCCTCTTCTTATTCTTATGTGAGTGGTCTAGGGCAAACGCTTTAGCGTCACTGAGTGTGAAGGTCTGGCCAGAGCGGCAAGGGCCCGGGCACGTGACTGGCACCGGGCGCTTTCTGGCCCTGGCAGTCTGGGATGCAGTCGGCGCTGACGTCCTGCTGTCTACCCACAAGCCTCCGGGCCCCAGTGCAAGCAGGAAGAAGACGTGCGGGCCCGGTGCCTGCTCTAGGGAGGTCGGGGCGCTTCCTGAGCGAAACGGGGACGCCGCCCAGGCCTTCTGATGCTTGTAGACTGAAGACCATGCGACACTCGCACCCAGGGCCGAAAAAGAGACTGCCCCATCCCCCGATTTAAGTCCTAAACTGCTACCAGTGCTTCCGGCTGCAGACCCTCGTGGACTAGGGTGCGCTTCCCTGACAGCTGTCGGACAGAGACAGCCAAGAAAGCTCTGAGTCGTTACGCTTTTTCCTGGTCTTCTTAACTAGATACTCGTTTGTGCCAGTCCGAGGAGTACCACATGGTGTTTAATAAGTGTTATAAGTATCAAAGAACACGCACAACTACAGTTTTGCCTCAGGACCAACCCTAACCCGCCCCCCTGACTTCTAGTTTCATTTGCATTCCAGCCCCTTCGCATCATTCTTTCCTGACCCTTTGCCTTATCGCCCGCGGTCTCCTGTCTGGTCTAGACACTCTCGCGCCGTTCGCTCTGCAGGTTCTAGCTCCCGCCTCTCTCCTCCCGGGGCTGACGAGCCTCTTCCTCCTTTCGCCCCCTGTACCCCAAACCTGGGACTGCATTTCCCGGCAGGCGCCGCGGCGCGCGGCCAATGAGGGGCTGAGGATTTGGCGGCGGCGGCGCCCCGAGAGTCGGGGGTGGGGGGGCTTTGTGCGCGGCGGCGGCGACGGCGGCGGGAGCGGGCAGCGGGAGCGGGCGGCAGCGGCCAGCACGGAGGCGGAGGCCGAGGGGGCTGTGCACAGGTCGCTGCGGACAGGCGTGAGAATTCTGAGTGGAACTCGAGGACCCTGCTGCCCCGGTTGGACCGCCCGCCACAGCTCCTCTCTGGCACCAGTGGCTGCTCGACGATCCCTGTCCCGCCACTTCCCCTTCCCACCCACCTCCCGCAGCCTTCCTCCTCCCTTCAGCGTGCCCGGCCCGGTCCGGCCGTGGCAGTCCTCGGTGCCGGCCGCCATGGCAGAGGCGTCCGGCGCGGGGGAAATCTAGTCCGGGGATTTCATGCGGCCTAGCTTGGTTCCGTCTCCTCCCCCCGCGGCCCCGGCAGCTGTCGGCACCCCAGCCCCATTCCGGGCCTCCGTGTCTCTCCTGTGATCGTACTGACACAGGGGTTAGAATGGAACAAACTGAAGGTAAAGTAAGTGTGTGTGTGTGTGTGTGTGTGTGTGTGTGTGTGTGTGTGTTGCACGGAAGTGCCGAGGACGGAAAGATGGGGTGGGGGCTATCTAAGGATGGGGCACCAGTAGGGATAGAGACTCAGGAATGGGAGGAGAAGCGGGTGGCCTGAAAGGGTTCAAGGGTAGTCTAGAAGGAAGAGCAGATGGCAGGATGAGGGGTGTGGAGGGAATTGGGGGGTGGGGCAGGGGAGGTAGGATTGGGATTAGGGATGTAGTGGCGCTGAGCTGAGAATTGGGAGTAAAGGTAGGATGGGGGCGGGGATAAAGATAGGAACCGGGGAGGGGCAGAGAAAGAAGAGTTAGATTTGGAGAAGATTAGAGACCCGAGTGGACTACGAAATAGGGAGGTCTGGGGGTGTAGTGTGGGAACTAGAAGAGGCTGGGGGAAAGGGATGGAATTTGATGGGGAAATGGGGCATCTTATGGGAATCAAGGGAGAAATAAGAAAATGAAGTGGTTTAGAAAAAGGGATGAGAAATGATTGAGACAGAATGCAATAGGAGGATAGGAAATAGACGCAGGAAACTGGAAGACATAGGATTGGATTAGAGAAGGAAATTAACTGAATGTTGGAAGGGATGAGAACGATCCACCAAGCGTCACATAGTGGGAGGAAAAGGGAAGGGGGTTGTTAAAGTGTTAGAAAGGAAAGCCTTTTGTTCCTATATTTGTGTGTATTCTGTGCCTATTTCAAGGCTATAGAATAGAGAAGCTAGTGGTTATGGGGTTGTGATTGTTGTGAAATGGGGGAGGTGTGGGTGTTACTGTTTTGAGGGAAGAGGAGATGTGTTTGTGTTATGGTAAGGAGACAGGGAGAGACATGGCCATAATATGATGATTTTGGTGAGAGAGTGAGGACTATTCAGATTTAAAGGGGGCAGGGGCAGCCATGTTTGCTGCCAGGCACTGCAGTGTAAATAAATTCCTTTTTCTTTCCGACATCAATGTAAATCTGGAAGGGGCCAGCTCACATTGTTAACCCCCCTTCTTTCTATTCATGAACTCTTTTCCCTTACCTCTTGGATCATTTACAGTTATTCATAACCAGCAAAGGAGGTAGTGATGTTTTCCATCTTGTGTGTTTTGCTGCCCACCCCCTTCCCTTTTCTGGTTGCAAACAAGACATACTGATGAATTGCAGTGTAAAATTTAACCCTTTTTGTAAATTTGAAACTAGATTTTTACTAGTTGAAGGAATCATTACTACCGTCATATTTCAGACATGATCGTGAAAAGTCCTTTGAATATTGATTGGTTTCAGAAGCCTTAGAAGCGGTCTACATGTTTTCTGCAATTCTTTAAGTAAACAAGGAAATTGCGTTGGTTTTTTTTTTTTTTTTACTTGGGGCTGTGCGCTTGGCAAAACACTGTGTGTGGGTAAGAAGGGCTAGGGAGATCCACTTGTGATAGATTATTTGCTTGCTATATTTTGAATGTTGAAAAATAAGAATGTCTGTATTTTAAAAGGGTATTTCTGATAGCTATCAAAGGATAGGTGTGTTAAGAATAGTGATTTCTATTTTTTAAAAATAAACTCTTTTCCTCAACTCCTCCCTTTGCCTTCATGCTGCTATCTCAATGTAGTCTCCAAATGCCAGTTCAGCACAGTGCAATGATCTATGAAGTAGGCAGGCAGTTATTAGAGCCTCATTGAGTTGCCAGTTTCTTTTCTTTTCTTTTTTTTTTCTTTCTTTTTTTGATGGGAAGTTCTGGTAACTCTCATGAAAGATAAGGTAATTCTAATGTATTCAAATGTAACTACTGTTGTGATTAGAAGTTGTTGCTTCTCTAAAGATTTAAATCCTGACAAATTTATAGTAGATCAATTAGTATGAGGTGGAGCCTATTTTATTTTCATATTGAAAAGATTAAAAAGTGTTCATGACCTTTTGCTTTTGATTTATAATTGTAATTGAGGTAATCAAAACTTTAACCCATCACATTGATGGTCAGATTGTTCTCTGGTACCTGGAAGTTCTATTAAAATTGTAATATGATGGACTGAATCCAATTCTACTACATATTGATTTAATCTATTTTAATAGTAATGTCCTCTCAGTTGTTTTGGAGAAGTTTCGGATGTGTTCTTGGTTTGTTGGGAAAATTAAAATGAATGTTGTTAAAGTGGTACTTTCTGAGAGTACTGTGTTCATAGCATAAAGCCTGAATTTTTTGAAATTCTTTGAAGATAAGTTCCATTCTAAAAGGCCATTCAGCATGTTTTTTTTTTTTTAATTCATATTCATGGAGATTTCTTATTTGTGTTTCCCATTTGATTGACATTATTTTTTTAACTTTTAAAATTTTTTTAGATGTAGATGGACACAATATCTTTATTTATTTTTATGTGGTGCTGAGGATCGAATCTAGGGCCTTACACTTGAAAGGCAGGCGCTCTACCACTGAGCTACAGCCCCAGCCCCCTTGATTGGCGTTATTTATAATTAAGTTTGCAAATTATGTGCATGAACTATCAATGCCATACTTTTTAAGAAAATAAGCAATCATTGCATGTTAAAATGAAATTTAAAAAAACACATGAAACTTAAATGAGCCATCATGAATATTCTGGTTCCTTGCCCAGGTATCCATTCAATGAAGAAGGCTACTCAAGTCAGATAACAACAGAAACCCAAACTTTGCTCTAATTTTTTTGATCATCAGCCCACCTGTGTATTTTTTATTTTTTTTTTAACTGTAAATTAACCAATGTGCTCTAGTATGCTGATCAGATTGAATGAGTTTTGGATAGAGGAAACTAATATTGATGAACATTGAATTAACTTTCAGATCTGATAATAATCATAGCTGGTAACATTTGTCCTCTTACAGTGATTTCCTTTTATCCTCCTGATGGTTGTATGAGCTTAATACTTTTAACCCATTTTTACAGATGGAGAAGCTGAGGTTAAGTAATTAAATAACATTGAAACATTTAAAAATTCTTTGAAGACTGGTTCCATCCTAAAAGACCATTCATGGTCGTTTTTTTTTGGAATGTCAGCAAAGCAAGTATTTGAACACAGGTATAGAACCTGGATCAGCAAACCTAAGAAATTTATTTTTAAAAACCATAAAAATAGTATGTTTGTTACTTTCAACATTTTCAAGAAATTTAAAAAATAGCAGCCCTGATTACTACTTTAACTATTTTGAAGTTTTTTGTTTCTCCATCTAGAGAATTTCCATGCACTTATTTGTGTATTTCTCTTGAAGTACATACTATCTGCATTTTGCTTTTTTGTTTTAATAGGATGTCTGGGACATCTTTTAAAATTGGCATACGTGGACCTACAGCTTTTTATAAAGGGTCATATAGTATTTAATTATTTGGAATATTAACATTTAGGTTGCTAACATGTTTTTGCTATTATAAGTAATATAGCTGAATCTGAATTACATTCCTGTCTGTTCAAATGGAAGAGAGATAATACACTATCTTATTTTTCAAAAGAGAAAACTGAATCTTATAAAAGTTAAACCCAAGGCTTTGGTAACCTGTTACTTGGGTCTTTATACCACACCACATTATTTTACTGTGAAAGTATTTGAGTTGTCTATGAAAGCTCAAGATGAGGGGGCATATTTCAAAGTTAGTATAATTAGTTTGAGGAAAGTAAGTTGCAGTGAAGCAAGGGATCTTGCTTTATTTTTTTCATACTTTGTTCATCAGGCACATATAACATATACACAATATTTTTACATGAATAAATGAATTGTGTTCAAGTTATCTTGGAGTTTGTAATGAAGTGGTTTTTGTCAGAATTTTTCCTGTTTCAATACAGTTGTCAGTGACATAGCAGTGAACTGAATTAGAAAACAAAATTTAATCGTGATCCTAGAAAGAAAATTGTGACACCGATAAGTTTTTTAAAATGAGCTAAAAATGCCTCATTGAAAACAAATTTAGGGATGAATGGGCTTCTGGCTCAGTGGTAGAGTGCTTGTCTAGTACATGTAGGCACTGTGTTCAATTCTAAGCACCACATTAAAAAAATAATAATAAGGGGCTGGGGTTGTGGCTCAGAGTTAGAGCGCTCACCTAGCACTTGCGAGGCCCTGGGTTCGATCCTCAGCACCACATAAAAATAAATAAATAAAGATATTATGTCCAACTAAAAATAAATATTAAAATAATAATAATAAAGATATTGTGTTCATTTACACAACTTAAAAATTATAAAAAGGTAACAAGTTTAAAAAAAGCTTAGCATATAATGTTGATTACTTTGTTTAGTTTTAAATTATTTTTGCCTATCAAGAAGAAAATAGAGCTGGGCATGGTGGCGCATGCCTGTAATCCCAGTGGCGCAGGAGGATTTGGAGTTCAAAGCCAGCCTCAGCAAAAGCAAGGTGCTGAGCAACTCAGTGAGACCCTGTCTCTAAATAAAATACAAAATAAGGCTGGGGATGTGGCTCAGTGGTCATGTTCAATCCCCAGTCCACCCCCCAAAAAAGAAGAAAACAGGTTACCATGGATGCTTACTCATTGGTTTTATTTTATTTTTAAAAAATATTTATTTTTTAGTTGTAGTTGGATACAGTACCTTTATTTCACTTATTTATTTTTATGTGGTACTGAGGATCGAACTCAGCATGTTGCATGTGTGAGGCAAATGCTCTACCGCTGAGCCACAACCCCAGCCCTGGTTTTATTTATTTATTTTTTTAAACAGCAACAACAACAAAATAGTCTTGTATTGTAGACACTGAAGAAATTAAAATTATTAAAGTTTTTTTAGAATTTGGTATCTATCCATAAAATCTGTTTCTCAGTGCAGTACTGTTTTTATTGTTCCTTTAGGAAAAAATCAGTCTATTTTTTTTTTTAAGAAGACACTAATATGACTTTTGTTGTTGTTGTTGTTAATAAACAACATACCCAGCATTTGAGTTTTGAAATAAATGGCAAGCTTTCCTTCTGCTGGCTAATTTTTTTATCAATATTAATAAGG